ACTACTACTCCTGCTACTACTATGACGACGACTACTACTACTACTACTGCTACTACTGCTACTACTACTACTACTGCCACTACTCCTACCACTACTACTACTACTACTTCTACTACTACTACTACTACTACTGCTGCTGCTGCTGCTACTACTACTGGTACTGGTACTGGTACTGGTACTGGTACTAGTCCTAGTCCTAGTACTAGTACTAGTAGTCTCTTGTTCTATTCGTGCTGCAAGGCAAGATGCACCGGGAGGGCAACTTCAGCGTCCACGTGAAGAGGCTCTGCCTGATGCGCAGACGGCTGCAGAATATCGAATTCTCTCAGCCTAGCTTCCAGGACTCCAAGACTTGCATGTAAGCCGCAAACGTGGTAACTCATCGACTCATAGACCTTGGGAGCCAGAAGCTCGAAATAGGATGAACCCTCTGTGCTCAGCGTTTGCGCGTGGCCTCCGATTCCCATGCTGGGAGCTATGCCCAAAAACAACAGCTCCGCAATGTGCTTTCGGCGAAGAGCGCCAGGCTGAAACAGAGCATGCTAATGTTGGCAGGCCAAAGAACAGCATTCTCCTCGCCCGTGTCGACGTCGCTGGAATCAAGCGGGAGCGTCTCTTCACGAGCGGCCACGGCACCGAAGAAGGCTCTTCGGTCTTGGCTCAAAGTCTTGTGATCTTCGTGCGAGCCTTCGGGTCGCAAATCAAAGTTTCTTGCACAAGGTCTTGACATCTTTCAGAGCTTCAGGTGGCATTATGCTTGTTATATGAGTCGTTCTGAAAGTAGTTGTTTAGGAGCGTTCTTTTTGCTGCTGGCGGTGGCAGCAGCGGTGCTGCTGCCGCCGCCACCGCTCCTGCTGCTGATGCTGCTGCTGCTGATGCTGAGAGCAGCACTGGTGTTGCCAATGTTGTTCTGATTCACGTCGGCGGTCGCTCGTGCTCAATTTAGACAGCGGTATCGGACGTGTCGCGCGAAGCAGGAAAGCCGTCCAGGCCTTTCCCTTCGATTCAAGACTCAAGGAATTACTTTGGGTCCGTTGTATTTGGTCCGGATTCCGGATAATTCCCAGCTTGTTTGTTGGCATTTTGGCTCTCAGAGCGGCCCGAAGATTTTCAAGACCAAAACCGCACTTGAACGACATGTTTCATGGCCATGTCCGCATAGCACCTGTTGTGCTCCAAGCTTCTGTTCCTGGACTGAAGCACTCCGACGCAAGGCTGGGTCAATTTTGCACCTCACAGTCATCTACCGAGCCTGGGTTTCAGATAAGCTGCTGCATGCCGTTGTGACTGTCACTGGCAGTACTTCTGCAGTGAAGGTTGCTATTCTCATGCATCTCCATTTCTAGAGCCAGGTCTTTCATGCGTCCGGGACAAAGACGAACAAAAGGTTTGGAGCGACAGACATAAAGGGTGACCGGATGGCTTCAGAGACATGTAAGGACGTACAGACCCTAAAGACATCACGAATACCCTGTTTCCCGGCGTCCCTTATGTAAGGATCGTTATTGTAATGAAGATATGTTGACACAGATAAATACTAGCACTTAGAAGATGTGTTGAGCGGTACCAGAATAGTTGGACCGAGCGAAAGCGGTCTTTACGAGCCTGCGATTGCTTAGAACTATGCCCAAGCACCCAAATTCCGTTGTTCAGAGATCCTCACAACCCCGAACCCCACACCCTCACACACAAATCTTTGCCAAGAGTTTGTGTGTCGCCTCCTTCCCAGGACCACGGACCCCTTGGACATCTGCCTGGAGGCCTCTGATATAAGGGCGTTCACAGCGCTGATACCGGTAGCAACAACAAGAGGAAGAAGTATGCTAATGAGAATAAGGTTTGGGGGCATCATCTGTATCGACTTATAAAAAATTGGTTATCTCCAACCCAGATACAACCCGATGAATCGTACCATAGTCACTTCCCCCCGCCTTCCTTCCCCTCGGACACGTCACTTCATGGTTCAGGGCCGAATGGAGTTTTCAGCGTTGCAAATTTATCCTACAAGCAGGAACTTCAGGACCTTCAAACGCTTCCGCTCATGTTTGCGGCCAGGCTCTCCTTGAACTTGAACCATCTTTCGTCAAGCTTTGTACACTGCCTGCGTAGCCTCCCACATCGGCAGGTCGAAAAGGGGACCCACCCAACACACAGGAACACGCAAGGACTTGCCAGCATGTGGCCTATTCTGATGGGAAGGCCTCGTGCCGCCGAGTGCCAGAAGAACCTTGCTGCCTCTGGACACCCTTGCACAACTTGTGCGCTAAACATTAACATGCTGAGTTGGTCACAAACAGTAAGAAGACTTCAGGCTTGAATCGAGGAGATGTGCAACTCCGGCAGTCGTTGCTATTTTGGTTCAAGTCGCAAGAGAAGAAGAACAAGCCTCCCTAGATTAAGTCCTCCTGATGTAAGGCTTTCCGCTCGGACCTTGCAGCCCAAAAGGCTCCGGATCGGGTTCTCTCTTCTGATTTAAAAAGATAGAAACTGGATACGATTATTACGACGACTACTACTGCTACTACTCCCACCACTTGCTACTCCTACTACTCCTACTATTCCTACTACTCCTACTAGTCCTACTACTCCCGTCACTCCTACTACTCCTACTACTTCTACTGCTACCCTTACTGCTACACTAAGTACTGCCATTGCTCCTGCTGCTGCTACTGCCATTGCTACTGCTAGTGCTACTGCAGGTTTTAGCATATCATACCAGCATACGAGCCTTATTACTGCCACATCTTCATTGCTCTTCCCATCTCTTCCCCTTGTATGTTGGCGTTTCCGCAACTGCTGCGATTTTTGTAATTGCCAACGACCATTCGTACTACTACTACTATGATGGCAAAAAAACTACTACTATGATGGTTTCTCTTATTAAGTTTCTTATTCAAGCTGCAGTCGTTGGGCTATTACTCCCGGAGCCGAGGGTTCGAGACATGTCGATTGCTGTGGAAGTGGGACTTCTCAGTGGCAAGAGAGCTTTCCTGGAAGCCGGCCGAGAAGAGGAGGTGTGATATAAGGCTCCTGCAAGTTCCGTAAGATGTTTGAGTATGAGGGTGTTAGGCTTTCATATAGTTGTGCTATATCTTCTGTAGGCTTCCTTGCTATACCTGTACTATCTATTTCTGGGGGTTCCTCACTAGAGGTATACTGAACACTATGGTGTGCCCCAGAGAGGTGGGAACGTTGAAGCGTCGGGCGCAAGCTGCACTCGGAATCGCCAGAGGGCGGCTGGTGGACTCATCTGGAAGCTTTCTTGATGAACATGCACGAATAGAGGATGCTAGCGTGCAGAATGGTGATTCGCTGACCTTGCACGTAAACCAAGTTCAAGCATGCGGCACCAAAGCCGCCTTCGCTGCCATTCTCGGCGACGGATCTGTGGTGACCTGGGGTGATCCGTTTTTTGGTGGTGATAGTAGTGCTGTGCAAGATCAGCTGAAGACTGTGCGACAGATCCAAGCGTCTAGCGGCGCATTCGCTGCCATTCTTGGTGACGGATCTGTCTTGACCTGGGGTCGTCGTCGTTGTGGTGGCAATAGTAGTGCCGTACAGGATCAGCTTAAGAATGTGCAACAGATCCAAGCCTCTAGCGGCGCTTTCGCTGCCACCCTTGGTGATGGATCCGTCGTGACCTGGGGTGATTCCGAGCGTGGTGGTGACAGCAGTGCCGTGCAGGATCAGCTGAAGACTGTGCAGCAGATACAAGCAACTGAATTGGCCTTCGCCGCCATTCTCGACAATGGATCTGTAGTGACCTGGGGGGATGCTCGTTTTGGCGGTGACAGTAGTGCTGTGCAGGATCAGCTAAAAGCTGTGCAGCAAATACAGGCCACCGGCTACGCATTTGGTGCCATTCTTGGTGATGGATCTGTCTCGACCTGGGGCAATGCCCGCCTTGGTGGTGACAGTAGTTTCGTGCAGAACCAGCTCAAGCATGTGCAGCAGATACAAGCTACGGACGTTGCCTTTGCCGCTATTCTTGATGATGGTTCTGTCGTGACCTGGGGTCTTGCTCGCTGTGGTGGTGACGGCAGTGCTGTGCGGCATCAGCTGACGAACGTCAAGCAGATACAGGCCTCTAACGGCGCTTTTGCCGCCACTCTTGGTGATGGGTCCGTCGTGACCTGGGGTGATGCTGAGCGTGGTGGTGACAGCAGTGCTGTGCAGGATCAGCTGAAGACTGTGCAGCAGATACAAGCAACTGAATCGTCCTTTGCTGCCATTCTCGACAATGGATCTGTAGTGACGTGGGGTGATCCTGTCTTTGGTGGTGACAGTAGTGCTGTGCAGGATCAGCTGAAGTCTGCTCAACAGATCCAAGCGTCTAGCGGCGCATTCGCTGCCATTCTTAGTGACGGATCTGTCTTGAGCTGGGGCGACGCTCGTTGTGGTGGTGACAGTAGTGCTGTAAAGGATCAGCTGAAGCAGGTGCAGCAGATACAAGCCACTGATGTTTCCTTTGCTGCCACTCTGGGTGATGGATCCGTCGTGACCTGGGGTGATGACGAGGGCGGTGGTGATAGTAGTGCTGTGCAGGGCCAGCTGAAGAATCTGCAGCAGACCTGCTTCTGAATCTCTGTCTTGGAGCATTTGGGTTCTGCTGGGCTTCGGCCCAGCCCGAGCGAAGCTGCCGCCGCGTCCCAAGGACAAGGGTTGGGCGGTTGGGCGCTACTGAAACCATCCTGTGATCCGATACTTCGTTGCACTCGCGATGCCATGCTCATATCCTATCTATCTCGACAGATTTTGGGCAGTTTCGATTATCCCAGAGTGCACAAGCGAGTTCTATCAAGTCTTTGCAACTGGCCTCCGGGTAATGCCGGAAACTTAAGCCCTGAGCAGCCTGAGCAGTAACATGCGTCGGGTCTTTGGGAGACGTTCGCACGACCAGTCGGCTGTCTGGCGTTGTGCTCGTTGACCCACGTCCCTTGAGAGCCCGGGCATATGTCTGGGCTTGTCTGACGGCACAAAGAGATCCCAAATCCAGGAAAATGCATGCTTTCTGTTTCCTCTCTCGTTTTCCGAAGGTGCTCCACTGCGCCGTGGTTTCGGCCCCGACTTCCGAGGGAAGCCGCATTTCGTGGGACCTTCGCGAGACGTTGGGCCCGGGGCTAAAGACTTGGGCTTAGAAGTTTCAACTTGAAACTATTGCGTGTAGGGTTGAGCTTAATGAATCTCGAGTTCTGGATGCTTTTCTCAGGTCGAATGCCGTATGCCATGGGTGTGCCCTTCGTGGAGGAAGTGAGGCACGCGACATGGCTTTCGGCCAAGGGCCTTCCCACATGGGTTCTGTCATAACATGGAATCCTGTTTTATCAACCCATGTCTCCATTGGCCAATCAAGCTCCTTGGCATGGGTGCGCCGAGTTTTGGATGGAGGTGTGATCCCGTTCTGACAAGGTGTTGGTACGGTGTGTCTATGTGTGTGACCCTGTGTGTGTGTGTGTGCTGTCTGTGTGAGAGTGTGTGTGTGTGTGTGGGGGTTGCAGTGGTGGTGGTTGTGGTGGTTGTGGTGGTGGTGGTGGTGACAGTGCAACTGCAGGCTCAAACGCATCGCACAACGACATCCAGGGTTTGCTTCTTTTAACCTGTTGGCTGATTGAAACTCCCCTTCCCCTTCACCCGAGCAGGGCCACTTCTGATGAGGGCACCGAGATCCAGCTGATGGCAGGGACCCCGGGTGCAAGATTCAGCGCGTCCGGCACACTCTGCTTCCAGCCAGAAATGTGCTGAAGTTGCCCTGCTCGGCTTTATCTGAACCCTAAAACCTTGGCCCTAAACTTTTCCACCAACAACAATAAACGCCGAAATCCCCAAAACTAAAAATTTTCCTCCAAATCTCAGTACAATAGCAGGTAGCCGTTTGTCAAGAGGTCCTTGACTCACATTGAAGTATGGTTGTAGGCCAGTTGCAAAAAAAGGGTAGGAAATCCCAGACAGGGGTGCCCGGCAGTCGAAATTGCCCAGGATGCAAAAATCCCCGCTGATCCACAGAGTCTGGGTTAGAAACATATGTTAGTTTCAGTTCCGAAGGTATTGTGCAAGTAGTGATCTTCTTGAGTTCTTAGGGGTAAGGGCACGATCTGGCAATGTGCATCAGTGGTGTTCTTGCAAGTCTGTCTCGGACACGGGCGTGTTCAGGGAAAGTGCTGCAGGTCACCTTCTTCCCGGGCGGGCACACCTCAGCTCCAAGGGATCATGCCTCCCGGCATCTTGAAGGTTGAGGAGCTAGAACGTCTTGAGAGACAGGGGGGCACTTATATTGCTTGTGCGTCCGGGCTCCTGGCATGCTGATGTGCATTCCGAGAGATGTGCTGAGTGTTTTATAATTGGCGCTAGTTCAAAACACTTGGACCTGGATTGACATAGCATCAGGTATGAGGAGGACGCTATAGCAGCTCCGAAAGTGTCAATGCGAGGCTTTGCCTTGAATCATACCACCCGAACGAGGGGCTACCCGCATGTTGTGAAGTGCTTCTGATGTGTGTCGTTGCTGCTGCTTGCGCCAGTCGCTTGAGACCAAGTTGTTATTGCGGCTTGTGAGTACTATGACTACTGTAGGTTACTATATACACGCATTATTACTATTACTGTTACTGCCATTATTATTAATTACTATTTTTGCCATTCTACAACTGGTACATTACATCGCACACAAGTGCCCGAATAGCTTTCCAAGCTGGCCCTAGCCTGCACAAGGTGTCCCTGTGGGTGTCGCCACTGAGAGGCTTGGAGGCTGTGAGGGTTTTAGAACTTCCCGGTCTTGCAGTGGATCTACTAGAGGGGCTTAAATATTTACCAATACTATTTTGGATCTTCCTTATTACAATTATAGTTTAATGGGCCCCAAAACCCTATTCTAACTATCATTATGATTTTTTTTATTATTAAGGCCCCTATAGTATGCTTACTGGGACTTGCCGGCAGACACGTGGAAAGGAACTTGGGGTTCGCCGTCGCGATTGTGAAATCGAGTTTGGTTTGGGCTCTTCGGCAGACTTTTTCGACCAGGGTCTGCAGAGGTGGCAGATCGCCAGAAAGAGCTTTATGCATTTGGGAGGGGTACCTTAATGATAGGTTTATTTAGGGTACTATATTGGGGTCCCCTATTTTCGAAACTCATATTTATGTGCCAGCAGTCAGAAGCATGTAGCCAACGGGTCGCACGAGATCGGAGCGAGTAATTGTTTCCGTCACTGATGGCCGCCTCCCCCTGACAGCTAAAGCCCCACTGCCCGCAACCTAAAGAAAAACGCTAAAGAGCAAACAGCCCACAAAGAAAACTTTGACCGCGCAAAGTCCCCTTCAATGCATCCTGACATAGGCATGCAGGAGGCTCTTGATACACCAATGTGAGTTTTTGGTTTTCCCTCCGGCACTTTGCCTCTTTTACTTTGCATGCTGTGTATACTGGTAGTATCCACCTGCTAGCCTGGAAGTCGACGCCTCCACCAGTTTCACTGCAACTGATAGCCTCTGAACTGCTGAAGTGCGCTCCGACACTCCCGAAGAACCTCGGGAATCCTCCCTGGAACTTCTCGCTGAAACTCGATCGCCCCGACACCCGTCCCAGGACCGCCGCCTTGCCCTCAGGTATCAGCTCTCGTCGTAAGAACTGCCTGCAGCTACATGTCCCAGATCTTTCGCACGTGACTGCGAGGGTGCACGCGGAGCATATTGCTTGTTCGATTTAAACTTTAAAGCCTTTACTAGTAACAGCGACTCCTCCGTCGCAGTGGGTGCCTGAGGCTATGCTTGCGTTGTGGACGGCAGCCCGGAGCAGCGCGGTTCCGGCGAGTCCATCTTGCACTTCCCGCGCGTGGAGGTCTTCGGACGCAGCCTCAGCTGCAGCAGGGGCGACACAATGCTCGCAAAACATGGCAGGCAAGAACGAAAGTGGGTTTGGGTCATAGGAACGCAAAGTGGGACAGTAAGAATGCCTTCGCCAAAAATCAACAGCGCCGAGCAACCGTGCAACAAAATGCAGGAGGGGCTCGCTTCTAAGCAGCAAATCCTCAGCCCCTTTGAGCCCTTCACCCAATCCTCGACCCCGCTCCCCAAAAGCCGAAAACTTAAACACTAAGCAGTCTGCCGAGGAGAAATTGGTATTGTCATTTGCCGATCTCCGAGTCCGGATGCGCCACGGCGATTGCGGCGCTTCAGTGACCGAGAATATCCTGGGAGGGAGCCAGAGGCAGCATAGCACCGCAGGCTCTAAGCAAAGCATCCGGACGCAAAAACGCGAGATACAACTAAGCACAGATGGTAAGCAAGCCGTCCATGAAGAAGTGACTGCACGCACACATGCGCACACGTAAGTCTACGCACAACATCTATGTTCAAATCAGGTAACTTAAACATGTAAGGTCAGCTGATGTCAATCGCTTATCTGAGAGTATTACGCGCTGCTTATTGACATGGATTGACTACCGAAGCAAAGTATTATACGCCGTTGTAATGGAATACCGTCCAGCTGTGAACGTGGTCGAGGGCCTTTCACCGAATCCGAACACATTGCGAGCTTATCCTCAAAGGGGATGAAAAAGAGCCATGTGCGAAGAGGACGAGCGCCGTTGTTTATAGAAGCCTTCCAAGCTCAGGATTTCCAAGCAGTTCATAGGAAGATCCCTGCGTGAAAACGACCTGCATCAGCGGAATAGGACTTTTGCAGCAGGTTTTGGGCTTGCGGTTTAGGATTTGGAGCTTCTGCATAGATTCGTGGGCTTCGGGCTCAGACAGGTGATTGGATTCGGCCGGACAGCGGTGAAGTGTTTCTCACGGATCTGAGCACCATCTGTATCCGCGGTCTTCAATTGTTCGGCAGCTGCCGACAAGTTCTCCGCAAAGTCGATCATCTAGTATGACTTAGTGACTTAGTGTTGCTTTGCTTGCACGTGTACAAACTGACATATTGCGATTTTTGTGGTGTCACTGCAGGCAGTCCTTGTCCACGCGGGCCTGCTGCATCCTCACCAGGACTGTGCTGTGTGGCATGTGACAGTATTTGATGGGGCCTGTCACAAACCAACAAGCCACAGGTCTCAGGTGTACATCCCCTGTTACACCAATGATCCATGGTTCTTACCACGAGAAGGACCTATGGCCTTAAAGCACTAAAAGGCCCAAACCCGAAACCCTAAAGCCCCTTAAGCTGCTCCTAGTGCAGACTAGTCAAAATGCTTTCGAAGACCGCGACCTCGTCTGGCATGTCCGAGTTGCGGTCAGGTCGGCCCCCTATGAGCCCGAACCCGAAACCCTACATAGAACCTCTACATTAAATGCCACTGCATCGGGCAGGGATTCTTCCACAAGCGGAGCGAAGGCAGAGAGCCCAAGCCCCAGGTGGTGCTACTCTACCAATTAGAGTAGTAGCCCCTTATAGTCCCTGTTTGTTCAGAAAAAATATATATATATATATATATATACACATATACGTATACATACATACGCGCTTTAGTTGTAATTACTATTAAATTATTAGAGACGCCAACACGCTATTCTAATTGACAAAACACCTACATACGTCCGCCCTGCGCTCTTCGGTTTGTGCTCCAGAAACTTTGGCTCAAGTGACTGGACGGTGTGATGCGGGGGCCCACGTTGTTTTATGCAACATCCTTTCAACTTCTGAAGGAGTGTTTGCGTTTCTGTTCGGAGTTCTTGCAGGATCCAAGGCCACTTTCAAAAGCCCGTCGGGTTCCTCTCATGGTCCTGTTCGTCGGAGTGCCGGGCCGTCTAACGAAGTTCAGTTCTCTTCAGCGACGTTGCTGAACCATCTGCGAACCCAAAATCCTACCCGCAGACTCCGTCCATCCTTGCAAGCTTAAGCTGGGAGTCTTCTCTTCCTCCTGCTCTTGTAACCCGCACTGTTGAAGCTGAGAATGCTTGCTTCAAGGTGGCACGTTGTCCGGCGCCTCGCAACCGAAGCATCGATTGTGACCCTTGCTAGCCAGGCACCCCGAAGTAGCAGCTATTGTACTGTACCACTTGCTATCATGTTTTTCTTTTGCTGTCGAGTTTTTGAAGATTAAACTGACGCACCAAACTTTTCAGCATCGAAATCAGCACCCGAAAACTTCTCCAATTTCCCTAAGTCTACCTAGCCAGCACCCCCACATCAGCAGAAGACTACAGAGCACCCTTCTAAAGCTCGGCTGCCAAGCAGCAAGCCCCTCAATGACTGTCTTCATGGTCCAGCAAACAAAAGACAGCCCATTCATAAAACACCTGGGAAGCCGCCAAACTCCAACATCCCCACCGACAGCACTCTAAACTTCTAAACCCACACCCAAGACACATTTAGGGTTTAGGGTTTAGGGTTTAGGGCAGACTACACTTGGCCAGTTGCTCCGTACCGGGAGGGGTGCACTCCATGCACTCGACAGAGTTGAGGGTTAAGGGCCTGCCACAGAGCCTCGAAGGCCGAGTGTTAGTTTACAGCCTCTGCACGCAACACCATCAATCCTGAAAGCCCGATTCTGGAAGCCTTCTCGAAGCCTGTTCCATACAGCACTCCTGGTAGAGCCGTTACAACACTGCTAACCTCTTCCACCATGCCCAATGAGGACGGCCAGACCCGGACCAGTCGGGCTTTTGGGATTAAGAGCACGAAACACGAGCTCACCAAACCATCCACAGCTCCCACAATAGCTAGCCCTAAACCCAAAACCCCAAATTCCCAAAACCCATACCCCTAAACTCAGTTCTGGAAGGGCTGGGGTCGCCGGACAGACATGAGATCGACTGCCGCCGTTCGTTCGGCGCTCAACTTGGGTTCACAGCTGGGCAGCCTGAGCTGATGAGGGTTTACGTTGATGGAGATTTGGGGCTTAGGTTTTCGGCTTCGGGATTCGAGACCAGGCGCGCATACAAGCATTCAGGATGACGTGTGATTCAGTCAGATTTTTGTGACTCCCCCAAGCTAAGGTCACTTAGTTACGCACTTTCAGTTCTACTGCATGTGTCGAAAGCTTCACATGGAATAGCCCCCGGTTCTGACGGGTTGTGAGAGGTCTTACGGGGTCTTGCCGAGGTGGGGGGACACCGGGGGCGGCACTAAGGCGGCTTCTTCCGCCGATGAGCACCCCCCTCCTCGCCCGCATTCCTCCCGTCAGGGCGACAGTGCCTGGCGTACTCTTTTCTTTTTTTCTCCTCCCAAAGGCGCTTCCATCCGTCCCGTAGGTCTTTCGCCTTCCATGCCTCGTCCAGGGTTTTCGTGCTGCAATCCCAGACCCCCGATCTCGTTCCGAGATTGGGGGTCTGGCCTGTTGCCTTCTTCCACGCCTCCCGTAGGTCTTTCGCCTTCCATGCCTCGTGCAGGGTTTTCGTGCTGCAATCCCAGACCCCCCATCTCGCTCCGAGATTGGGTGTCTGGCTTGTTGCCTTCTTCCGCACTTCCCGTACGTAGGTCTTTCGCCTTCCATGCCTCCTGCAGGGTTTTCGTGCTGCAATCCCAGACCCCTGTCTCGCTCCGAGATTGATGGTCTGGCTTGTTGCCTTCTTGCACCCGTGGTCTTTCGCCTTCCATGCCGCGTGCAGGGTTTTCGTGCTGCAATCCCAGACCCCGCGTCTCGTTCCGAGATTGGGGGTCTGGCTTGTTGCCTTCTGCCTCGTGCAGGGTTTTCGTGCTGCAATCCCAGACCCCCGTCTCGTTCCGACATTGGGGGTCTGGCTTGTTGCCTTCTTCCACGCCTCCCGTAGGTCTTTCGCCTGCCATGCCTCGTGCAGGGTTTTCGTGCTGCAATCCCAGACCCCCGTCTCGTTCCGAGATTGGGGGTCTGGCTTGTTGCCTTCTTCCGCACTTCCCGTACGTAGGTCTTTCGCCTTCCATGCCTCCTGCAGGGTTTTCGTGCTGCAATCCCAGACCCCCGTCTCGTTCCGAGATTGGGGGTCTGGCTTGTTGCCTTCTTCCACGCCTCCCGAAGGTCTTTCGCCTTCCATGCCTCGTGCAGGGTTTTCGTGCTGCAATCCCAGACCCCCGGTCTCGTTCCGAGATTGGGGGTCTGGCTTGTTGCCTTCTGCCTCGTGCAGGGTTTTCGTGCTGCAATCCCAGACCCCCATCTCGCTCCGAGATTGGGGGTCTGGCTTGTTGCCTTCTTACGCGCTTCCCGTACGTAGGTCTTTCGCCTTCCATGCCTCCTGCAGGGTTTTCGTGCTGCAATCCCAGACCCCTGTCTCGCTCCGAGATTGATGGTCTGGCTTGTTGCCTTCTTGCACCCGTGGTCTTTCGCCTTCCATGCCGCGTGCAGGGTTTTCGTGCTGCAATCCCAGACCCCCCGGCTCGTTCCGAGATTGGGGGTCTGGCTTGTTGCCTTCTGCCTCGTGCAGGGTTTTCGTGCTGCAATCCCAGACCCCCGTCTCGTTCCGAGATTGGGGGTCTGGCTTGTTGCCTTCTTCCAACGCCTCCCGTAGGTCTTTCGCCTTCCATGCCTCGTGCAGGGTTTTCGTGCTGCAATCCCAGACCCCCGTCTCGTTCCGAGATTGGGGGTCTGGCTTGTTGCCTTCTTCCACGCCTCCCGTAGGTCTTTCGCCTTCCATGCCTCGTGCAGGGTTTTCGTGCTGCAATCCCAGACCCGCCCGTCTCGTTCCGAGATTGGGGGTCTGGCTTGTTGCCATCTTCCACGCCTCCCGTAGGTCTTTCGCCTTCCATGTCTCGTGCAGGGTTTTCGTGCTGCAATCCCAGATGTTGCGTCTCGTTCCGAGATTGGGCGTCTGGCTTGTTGCCTTCTTCCACCCCTCCCGAAGGTCTTTCGCTTTCCATGCTGTAATCCCAGACCCCCCATCTCGCTCCGAGATCGGGGGTCTGGCTTGTTGCCATCTTCCACGCCTCCCGTAGGTCTTTCGCCTTCCATGCCTCGTGCAGGGTTTTTCGTGCTGCAATCCCAGACCCTCCGTCTCGCTCCGAGATTGGGGGTCTGGCTTGTTGCCTTCTTCAACGCCTCCCGTAGGTCTTTCGCCTTCCATGCCTCGTGCAGGGTTTTCGTGCTGCAATCCCAGATGTTCCGTCTCGTTCCGAGATTGGGGGTCTGGCTTGTTGCCTTCTCCCACGCGTCCCGTAGGCCCCGTCTCGCTCCGAGATTGGGGGTCTGGCTTGTTGCCTTCTTCCACGCCTCCCATAGGTCTTTCGCCTTCCATGCCTGTGCAGGGTTTTCGTGCTGCAATCCCAGACCCCAGTCTCGCTCCGAGATTGGTGGTCTGGCTTGTTGTCTTCTTGCACGCGTGGTCGTTCGCCTTCCATGCCTCGTGCAGGGTTTTCGTGCTGCAATCCCAGACCCCCCGTCTCGCTCCGAGATTGGGGGTCTGGCTTGTTGCCTTCTTCGGTCTTTCGCCTTCCATGCCTCGTGCAGGGTTTTCGTGCTGCAATCCCAGACACCCCGTCTCGCTCCGAGATTGGGGGTTTGGCTTGTTGGCATCTGCCGCCCCTCCCGTAATTCCCTCGCTTTCCATGCCCGTGCCGGGTTCTTGCGACAATCCCAGACCCCCCGTCTCGCTCCGAGATTGGAGGTCTGGGTAACTGTCAGGTCCGCACCCCGCGTAGGTCTTTCGCTTTCCGTGCCTCGTCCATGGTTTTCGCCCTGCTATCCCAGACCCCCGTCTCGCTGCGAGATTGGGTTTCTGGCTTGTTGCCATCTTCCGTGCCGTGCCGACCCCCCGTCTCGATCCGAGATTGGAGGTCCAGGTTGCCCTGTCATGTCCGCACCCACAGCAGGTCTTTCGCAATCCATGCCTCGTGCAGGGTTTTTGTGCTGCAATCCCAGACCCCCGTCTCGCTCCGAGATGGGGGGTCTGGCTTGTTGCGATCTTCCGCCTCTCCCGCGGGTCTTTGGCCTCCCATGCCCGTGCAGGGTTTTTGCGGCAATCCCACACCCCCGTCTCGCTCCGAGATTAGGGGTCTGGCTTGCGGCCATCTTCCGCACCTCCGACTCTTTCGCCTACGATGCTTGTGCAGGGTTTCTGGCCACAATCCCAGACCCCCGTCTCCAGATTGGGGGTTTGGGTTGTTGTCGGTATCTGCACCTCAGCCTCGTGCAGGGTTTTCGCCTGCAATCCCAGACCCCCGTCTCGCTCCGAGATTGGGGGTCTGGCTTGTTGCGATCTTCCGCCTCTCCCGCGGGTCTTTGGCCTCCCATGCCCGTGCAGGGTTTTTGCGGCAATCCCACACCCCCCCGTCTCGCTCCGAGATTAGGGGTCTGGCTTGCGGCCATCTTCCGCACCTCCGTCGGTCTTTCGCCTACGATGCTTGTGCAGGGTTCTGGCCACAATCCCAGACCCCCGTCTCCAGATTGGGGGTTTGGGTTGTTGTCGATATCTGCACCTCCCACAGGTCTTTCGCTTCCAAGCCTCGTGCAGGGTTTTCGCCTGCAGTCCCAGACCCCCCGTCTCGCTCCGAGATTGGAGGTCTGGCTTGTTGCCGTCTTCCACACCTCCCGGAGGTCCAGCCAGTTAAACCGGCTTTTCGCGCAGCATCCTATGTTGTTTTTAGGGCTTTCGTAGTTTTTGCCGTCTTGGGTTGATGGAGTCTAGCTTCGCGTGCCTTTCACCCCTTTCTCTGTGGTCGGTTTCTTTTCGTTATATTTCAGACCACCTTCTCGCACCATCTTTGGTTTGTTTCCATGGCGCGAGATCTGTGTGGTTGTCACCTTTCACATGTTCCGCAGTTTGTAGGTTTGCTGCTGTTATCCCAATCTCGAGATTGGGGCTCTGGGTCGGCGCCATTTTACGCAAGTTCCGTTGAATCCTTGCCTCCCATTCTCTGTCCTTGGCTATCTTGTACTGCCAGACCGTCCGGCCTCGCATTGTTTGGGGTCTGTGCTTTTGCGATTTTCTGTTCTTCTGTCTACTTCCGTCCTCTTTGTAGGCGTCAGCTCCTTTTCCAATCCCCTACCATTCCTCTTCTTCTGTGAAACTTGGCTGCATTACATACACTCCCTCTCGAACCCCTCGCGGAGAGCGGCTATGACGATTACGGAGCCGCTCGGAGATGCTTGGGGGGAAGTGGGTTGACGGCCGCAGTAACGTCTGTGGGCCACTCTCCTCCTCCTCCTCCTCCTCACATGGAATAGCCAAGTTGCGGTAGCTCACGATTCATCCAGGTGCTTCGTCTGGCTCTAGCTTCAGTGTGGCGATTGCATGTAGAATCCTTAAACAGGAATTATCCATGTCTCTACGGGTAGCCTCGAAACGGTTGCGGCGACTTTGAGAGACAACCTCCTTCAGCGACTAGATTCTTTGAAAGGTGTTTTCATTCTTCAAGGGCATCTGGCTTGGCGGTGCCTGCCTGAATAACTTGCGCATTGTCGCCAGCACTAGACCTCGCCCACATATCCGACCTACGAACCAAGACGCTCGCATGGCTGAGTCAGAAAGTGCGAGCATAAACGCCGCATGAGTGTCACAGGTTTGGCTGCAGTTGCTGGTGGCAGTCCGCCGCACACTTAGCGGACTTAGTGTTGCCAGTTAACTGCCCGAAGCAGAGGCAGGGGGGAAGACGACCATGCAAGGAGTGACATAGCAAAGCTGTACGTAGAGCCAAAGCCTAGCAAGCTCTTTCAGCTGGTTTGGATTCGAAAGCCACCAGTGCAGGAATTGCTACCCACGAACGGACGGTTGATAGGCTATTCCCGAGCACAGCAACACAAGTTCCCTAAAGCAGAGTTGAAAGGATTTCTGTTGACAAGACTGCATTCAAATGCGTGGTCAGGGGTGAGTGGGGCTAGCAAGCAAGAGAGATTTGGATTTGGGTCCCTTGGCATGGACACCAGGACGTTTCTTGAGGGGTGAGTCCGCATCCTAAGCGCACAGAGCGCTTAGAGAGTCCAGGTCTTCATAAGCCTGTGCCCTGCCCTACTGCCTGTGGCTCTGATCATCTTCAGAGCAGTACCCGTGCTAATCACCCCTGTAATCAGGCATCATAACTTTGTCACCTGCCATAGTGTAGGGCTTGGGGTTACAAGGTATACCTTATTCGCGAAAGTCCATCGGCCAGTACTAGGCAGAGCCATCAGAGCGCTGCCTGTGGTAGTGTTACGGCGACTCTAATCGCTAATCGCATGGGACAACAATTCTCATTACCACCAAATTTGATATAGCTTGTCTGTTCATCTGGCTGAGGGAGGAGGACTGTAGCAAAGAGGGTGCAGAGCCGGAAAACGACAAGATACGATGGCGAGTTTATGATCGGGCTTCATGTCCTCAGACTGGCAAGTAGGGTATCGGGTGTGTAGGGTGTGTGGGGTGGCCTCCTGCGGGGACGAGCGGAAACCCCAGATTTTTTCCAAGTTGGCCCCGAATCAAATCAGATCCCACACGTATATTGTTTTGGGCCGCACTGGAGAGGACAGCCCCAGACTGTTAAGGCCCGATCCCAAACTCGAGCGTATGAGGCACTCCGTTATCAGCGCCATGTCAAAGACGAAAGATGCTTGGCACGGTGCTAAGAAAGCCGCACACTTTGACTCGCATCTTGATGACTTTTTCCGCGGCCTTCCCTCTTCCGCATGTGCCTCTTGGGTTCGTGTGGTTTGTATGGTTTGTGTAACCCCGGCCCCAGCTTCTGGAATGTCTTGAAGCATTAGTTGTGGGACCTGCAGGAAGTCCAGGCCCCAAGCCCAACAATTTGCTGAAAGGCAGCATTGCAGTTGGAGCTCCTTGAACATTCCTCACGCAGGATCCGCTCCTACTTATATGCGGTTTTTTTAACTTGAAATTCCTGAAACCAGACCCCAGACCAAGTCCTCTGGATGACTTTCAGGCTTAGCAAGCGGCACGTGGGTGAGCTGTACAGGCTCCGCATTCAGGGACGACGGATCTGACTGTCAAGCTTCTCGCTCCTGGATTCATGCAAGCTTCGAAACCTGAGCTACTCGTAACATCTTTGATAAATCGAGCGCCACGAGGAGAATCTCAGGCAACCCTTACACTAAACCCGCAAGCTGAGCCCTAACACGTATATAAGCCCCAACCTCCAAACCTTGGTCCTGAATAGCCCAAAGCGCTATGCAACAATTTGCGTGACTGACTCACGCTCAACATATCTATATAGAAGCATCAGGCTGCAAGTGATATTCTGATATTCATGTTCGTCTAGTTGAACCATTCAGACCCCCGTGATGGAACGGCCATACTTGTACCCCGGTCCTGTTGCAGTTGGGCCGAATCGCCGCATGGCAGTCGGCTGCTGGACGGAAGCCGGCAGGGCACCCATTTGGGCGCGATAGGGGTGTCTGAACCTGCCAGACAAATCTATTGCGTTTTGGGGATGTGCCTTTCGAAGGGCATGGATCTGCAACTTTATTCAACGCCCACTTTGCAGGTCATCTTCAAGAAGGCTGCAGTCCTGTGGGTGAAGGATCCATAGATGTTCAACATTCTAGAGCCACCGAGGTCCACCAAGGTCAGATTTGTGCACGCTCTTCTCTCCACACCTACCCAAACCCGAAGCGTCTACATGAGCTAGTAGCTTTACTCGTATGACTCTTACCCCGGTTGGCCACCAGTGGAACAGAGCGTCCCGAATGCTCGCATCATTCAACAAGCTTCGCGTACCTGCGTCTGTTTTGCTTCGGCTCAAAGCTCAAATCCCGAAGGTGCAGTAGGTAGCGGCAGGCTTCCAAACGCACTGCTCTTAGCCTTTTGAGGCCCACGTCATTTTTTGGGTCCTGTACTTTACAGTCGCCGCTTTCTCCAGCTGCCATGCCTTCGCCTGGTTGTCCTCCGTTGAAAATCTCAAGTGGCACCATGCAGCCCTCAGAGGCTCACGGGTCTGTGTAAATTGGTTTAGGGTTTCGGGTTTAGGGATTTAGGGTTTTAGAGTTTAGGGTATCTGTTTAGGATTGATGCTTTCAGGGTTTCGGGTTCAAGGGTTCCGCCTTGCAGACCCAAGGGCCCAAGGGGCTAAAGCTGCTTTCCGGCTTCCGGGTATGTCTGTTTGCATGGCAGAACAGCTTCAATGCTCAAGGTCAACTGAAGGATTTGGGGTTTAACGTTTAGGGCCCATGGGTTCAGAAACGGTCTATGGCCTATGGGTTGATGGTTAAATGGGTCCGCCTTCCACAAGCGTCACGAGGCTAGGACGAACATGCTGTTTGGGTTTTCGGCAGCGAGGCTAAACTGGAGTAGCGGTTAGTGTTGCTTTCCCATCGTGTATCTGGCAAGGGAAGCAGCAAGCTAAGCGGTCTAATCGCGGCTCAGGAGACAACATGGAGAGTCCAATCTTCCGAACTTTCCTTCGTATCTCATCCCTGCACTGGAACTCGAACCTGAGCCCGCCAGACCACGCCTCGGCTGGACGAGAAGGCCGGGGACCGGACGCTCTTCGACATGGCCGCTCGGTAGATTCGAGAGCTCTCCCTTTGATCCCTTTGCCTCGTGCCTGAGAATCGACCCAAGATCCGCCGACCACAAGGACCTCAATCATGGCAGTTTAGGCTCCTACCGGTTTGGAGAATAGAACGACCTGTGCAGTTCTTGAGATCGTGCCCGGAAGCTTTCCGTGCCATAAATGCTCGCGCTCCCAAATCTGACTGTGCACGTCCTGTGCAGCTGTCTCTGCATCCCTGGCCAACACCAAACTAAAGAGTTCACGCATCTGTTGCAGACATATTGTTTGTGAAGTATGTTTCTATGACTTCATTGTTTGTTTGTTTGTGCTCCTGTGCTTCAACATATTGGACTACCATATAGAGTTATATGTTGTTTTGTGTTGCTATCAAACCTAATCGTCAGACACCGCACGGCTCTCAGGTGAAGGATGACGAGCGTTGGGCGCCGTTGGCCGCACATATGGGGAGTCGAGCGAACACTATTATTTAACCCTAGCCATTTAGGCTCAAGATTTTGTGCTCAAAGCTCACAGGTCCTGTCCAAGGTTCGTGCCGAGCAGGCTCCAAATCCAGAACCACGGACACTAGCAGCATCATGGCCCCGGAACCGCTGCAGTTGGTTTTCTACGATGGCACAGCAGAGCTGGCTACGCGGAATGGCTTTCTGGATGTGCGCGTTCACGTCATCGGTACAGAACCAGCCTGTCGGCGGGCACAGAGCGCTCCACCACGCTCGACTGGACTGCGACCAGGTGGCGAAGACAGTGAAGACGAAGAAGAAGAGGAAGCAGGAAAGCCGATCTCCCACGAGATCAGCAACAGCACCGTGAGCACAGACTGCCAGTGGCTCGATGCGCCGAATGAGGAATTCGACAGGCAGACAACCCAGCACAGCACAGTGGGCGCGATGAGCACATGCAGTGAAGAAAGCATGACAGACTCACTGAGAGTGGCACCCTGGACCGAAAAGAGCGGGGATTTGGCATCGGTCCACACTGTCATGATCAAGAACATCCCTTGCCGCTGTGACGCAAGCGAGGTGCTTCGTGCCGTCGATTCCTTGGGCTTCAAGGGCATGTACAACTTTTTCTACCTCCCCATGAATCGGCGCCATCGCCAGGGAATCGGCTACGCTTTTATCAATTTCCGGGTGCTGGGAACTGCCGAGCACTTCAAAAATGCCATATGCGGTTACCGTTTCCCTGGCCGCCGGAGCACTAAGCAAGTAGAAGTCGCCCGTGCGAAGCTGCAAGGACTGGAGGCGATGAACGAGTACTTCCGCCGCACTCAGGTGAGAGACATGCCTGTCCGGCCCTTGATGTGAGCAAACGCCCGGGTATGCCGCAGAGAGGTGCGCCGCCGCAAGGGCTCGGGGCTATGCTAAATCCTGTAAACTCAAGGGTGTATAGGGTACGGCCTTGAATCGTACGACATGAAGGTGTTTGTCTCCATCTGTGTTTGTGTTGAGCGGCCTTGGAGTGGCAGCCACCTCCCTGGCTAAGGGGAATCCTTGTGGCACTGTGGAGCAACCTCAAGAATAAGCCTCTGTGCGTCGCCTGCGCCGTCACGGGTGCGCATGCAGGGGGAGCGGCTTTGGACAGCTCAGCCATGGGCAAGCATTGCCCCAGAACCTAAACCTTCATCATTTGGAGTCTAGAGTCTAGACATTGGAGGTGTTTGGCAGGCTGCACCCCGGAAAACGCTGCAGAGATTTTTTTTGTCTCGGGTTGGGCGTTGGGCGTGAGATGGAATTGTGAACGGCGCGATCGACTGCAAAACCATAAGCACTACAACAAAGGCTTGTTTCTGTTATCCTCAAGCTGAGTCTGCGCCAGTTTTCTTTCTCACCCGGCAAATATGAACCGTCTAAGCCCTGCGAAGTCCCATGCCGAGCATTTTCTGACAGCACTGCTGTGATCAACGATCGACCACAGACCTTTTCAGCGCTTCCTTCAAGAGATACTCAGTCAATACTGATCTGGATGCGCTCGTCTTTCACGAAGCTGCGAAGTTGCAGCAGCTGTACAGTCGCATGCGCGCCTCTGGCAGACGCACTTTAGGTTCGGCGGTTTCTGTGCGGCCTCGAGCCCTGCCAATGCTGCGAGACTCAGATGCTCGCACGGAAAGGTTTGAAGTCCTAAAGGCAGGTTTACCCTGTTTGAACACATCCCTACGGTGCGACGCTGCTGTACACGTCAGTTGTGGGTTCCTCGCGGATCAGGCATGTTCGTGCGAGTCACTGGCAAATACCCCCGACCCCACAGTATAGGCCAGTAGCTCTTGATGCTGCTTAAGGCTAAGGAGTTGTTCAAGGGAGCCCATGGCTCAGCTGTTGCACCTCGTGGGTGCTGGGGCCTGCCCATATGCTGCATATGCTGTGGCCGCCGGCGCTTTCATCACGGCTTCAGGTTGGCATGAACTTGAAAGAGCACGAGCTGTGAGCACCGTGAGCTTTGTAGCTTTGAATTTTGCGTGTCACGAGTGGCCTCTGAAGCCATATGCAGCATGGAGCAACCGGGCGTGACAAGCCTGGTGTTGCCTTCGGTCAGCATGTGGATTTCTCGAAATTCAATCATTGGACCTCGCTGACTTGTCGAGCACGAGTGACAAACAAAAACAGGGTTAAGGGTTTAGGGGTTCGCCAACCGTCGAACCTTAACAGTCTAAGTTGAACTATACATGTAGGTACCACCGCACAGCCGCATTCCAGTCGTCATCCCTGTGCTATTTTTGCTGGGGAGCTCGGGCTCTACAGATCTTGATCCTGCCCCATTCGTTCTTGGCGTTGTTTTGAAAGTCGCTTGTATGCCACGACTTCTGGGCTCCGAACTGTCCAGACGAGGTGAGCTTTCACAAGACAATGACCATCTTCTCGTGCGAAAGGGTGGGAATCGGGACGGCAATTGTCATTTTGTCTCTGTATCGTAAACACTCAGACGGGCTTGTTACAGGAAGAATGCATCGGCTCAAAGCCCAGAACCTCAGAATCGTCTCGGCGCAGCTTCGAAGTAAGCGGAAAGGGAAGGATCCCACCGATGCATGTGTGCTTATTGGCTTATTTGTTCTTCCAAAGGCAGTGATCGTACTTCCAGTCGTAGTAAAGAGTATTCCTTTCTTCTTCTTTCGGGCATCTGCATTCGAAGCTTTGAAATTGAGAGTTGACATGGGCTGCGAACTTTCTTTTGCTTGATGTGGAGCTGCACAGTACTCAGGTGGCTCCAACGGTACCAAGCCAACACCAAACCGCTGAAAGCCCAAAAGAAAAGCCCCAGACCCTGAACCCCTTAAGCCCCACTTAAGCTCCAGAGCTCTAACAGGCAGTTCTCCTCGAGGACCGAGAGTCCCAATTCACCGGAGGCGTCCTGCCATCTCATTGCATGTGAATATTGGGCCTGAGTAGTCAGGGGAAAATTGTGTAGGCATTACATGTTTATGTGTTCTATAGCGAAGACATATTATACCTGTTATTCCGCGAGGTTCCCGAATGGGGTATGATGCTATAGTTGAATGTTCGCTTCGCCCATGCCTTGTTCCGATTATTTTATTATTAAAGGCCATGTAGTTGGGCGCTGTTGAGGATGTTCGGCAATCTAAGCATATCCGGTTGATAGAAAGCTTTTTGCCGCAAACATATGGTATAGGTAAAAGACGCCCCCAACATGTTTAGTCTATGTTTGTATGCTTTTTCCTTTTGTTTGTCGCTTCTTCAATCAAGAGATTCCTGAGACTTTCCGATGCAGAGGTCCTCGACCATTCCCCATGAGTGCAGGATTTGGAGAGTTGCTCCGAACGGCTAACTTCGTTGCAGTGCAAGTCTTAGTAATCCCTCACCTACCAAAATGTAGACAAACGAGATGATCCAGTGATCCAGGCTGCGGACAGCAAAGACAGCAAAGATAGTTTCTCCAGTGCATGTAGCAGTGCTGGTCATGGCTCGCATCTTGTCATTTATTGGTAGCGCTGCTGGATAGCTTTGTGAACCGCTTTGCGAGGGGAAAAGGGCATTGATCAGGTCCAGGAAATTTGACCTTGACCCGTGACAGCGTCGCAGCACAGCGGCGCAAGACTCTGGTTGAATCTCGAAGCTGCTCCGGTGTAATACCCTTTCCTAAAGTGTAATACCCATTTCCTACACCGACAAAGCGCTAAACGTGCAGTGCTGCTGATCCTCACAGGTGACTCACGGGTCTCTTGAGCATCCCGACAGGATGAGGGCTTGAACTTGCGACACATTTTTCCGCAGAGCCACGTAAAGGCAAAGTTTCGCTTCTGGCTATAAATCCTAAATCCCAAGCCCGGGGCACCCGAAATCCTAAGCGCAAAGCCTGGCCTTTCCATGGCCTCGGGAGGTGACAAGCTTGAGTACCAATACCAGGTCTATCTGGCGGAAGCAGCCGCCCTAGACGTTGACGGGACATGAGCTAGGGCACATACTGTATATGTTACTGCTACTTGTAGGGTTGTGGTGAGCGCATCTAGGACTCCCATGAAGTATTGGTGCGTGTGTGTTCTTGGTTTCGTTCTGGGGAGACCAGCAGCAAAAAAGACACCCTGCTACACAGAATCTCTTTAGTAAGAGGGGGTGGGTTCTTTGGACGGAAGTTTTTCCGATTCTCAGAATCAGAACACAAGGCCGTCAGTTTACCGGAGTGGAGAGGCAGAACATGCGGCAGCGCGATAATGACATGGGTCTCACTCCCAAGTCCAGGCAAACTACTGGCCTAAACCCCAAAGCCGTGCCTGCTGTGTGCGAGTGCACGAGTCGAAACCCCAAACAACTGACCGTAATTATCAGGTTGTATTTGGCGAGGAGCTCTCGAGGGAGATAGTCTTGTGTAGGCACGTCCAGGCCCGTGTATTGGGAACGATGTTACCTACACTGCCTATACTGTTGATATCGTAGTTAGAGAACGGTGTGCTGCCCACTGTTTGTTAGCAGCGTGTACTTCCCCTTCTTAATTCAAGCTCTATTGATTGTCTTGTGATTCTTCTCATTCTTGCCAGTTCCTGCTAGTACGACTGCGGCGATTGTTCTGACAATCATGACATGCAGCTGTTCAGGCTCGGGTCGGCGTAGCATGTTCTGTATAGGTGCAAGGTGCTGTCGTTCACAATTCGCAGCACCGCTCGGTGATGGCTTGGAATCTCCAGAGGAAGCTGCGCATAGTGATTGTGGTCTCAGTGTTCGTGGCTTGTGCTGCGGGCATGGCCATGACGCATCTGTCGATGTCTCCGTCGTCAGAGTACAAGAGGAACTGGTTGATCTTCATGGGTGTCCCCCTGCTCTGCATATTGCTGGTAGGGACCTCAATCATCATCATGCTCATGGAGACACGCAGCAACGACCACGTCGTAAGTGTCATACGCCAGGACAAACCTGAAGCGCGATGTGTTTGGGCGCCATGCAGGTATGACATGCTGCAGGCCATGAGCCCTCAGTTTTGCTGCTTCCACATAGAGTCAGGCAGAAGGGAGATGTCTAAATCCATCCCGGGAGTACTACAAACAAGCCTTTCTGCGACACGTGCTCATGATTCTACCTCGGCGACTTGCTTATGTTGCCTGGACGACTTCCGACCGGAGAGCGAGGTGGCTCTTCTTCCATGTGGCCATGTCTTCCATGAAGAGTGCATTACTTCATGGTCTATGTCTCCATCAAAATCTGCCAGATCGTGCCCAGCTTGCAGGACACACTATGATGAAGAGTCCGTCCCGGTATAGTCTACCGAGCTTGTGGGCGGCTTGTCACGTTGCAGAGCACACTGCAGCAGCTTTTTGATGCTTGCGTGGCTTCGAGTGTTTCCCAAACATGTGTGAAGTGATCTTTCTAGTCCAGAAATATTGGACGGCATGCACGTAATTCGGAGAGATCCGGAGGACTCTTTGCAAGGATGCCGCTGAGGATGCCTTTCTGGTTTGTACCATGGGGTGGGCGAGCAGGTCAATATCCCCCGCGGATTTGTTAATGCGGCTGATTATTGGGGTGATGCTCCGAAACCCTAATGCCCAAAAAAAGGAAGAAGCTAAATCCGAAAGGCCCTAAGCCCTTGCAGCCTTGCAAGTTTCAGCAGCCCGGCAGCCGCAGACGCACCCTATTCGGACATATTCCGGTCCCATCGCGAATGGAGGGTGCGCAGGCGCCGGGCAGATGCTTTAGTGAATCGAAGGTCCAGGCTCCCGAGATTCGATAAACTCGGGAGACCTTCGGCCTTGTCTCTTTATGGGCATGCGAAGGCTTGGTGGAGTTGCTCACATTGAGAAGATCACGGTTGACGTGTTGAATTTATACCTGTAGTTGTGTTGTGAGCAGTGGACAACTCCGAACAAGTTGGACAGCCGAAAGCAAGGACCGACACTTGCTTTTGTAAAATGCGTTCGCAAGAAAAGGCGAGGCAACTATGAAACGTCTCGAACGGAGCGCTACTGTGCCCATAGTGAACCCGCACTGGCAACGTGGGGATGTCGAATCGGGGCGATCCAAGAAGCAGCCATAAGACCTAAATTCACAATCCCTGGACTGTCTATGTGTTCTGCTGGCGGCAAGCTGGCAGTTCGTGCCAGTAGTAGTAATAGCAGTAGCAGTAGTAGTGGTAGTAGTAGTAGCAGCAGCAGCAGCAGCAGTAGCAGTAGCAGTAGCAGTAGTGGCACTGGCAGTACCAGTAGAAGTAGCAGTAGCCGTAGTAGGAGTAGCAGTAGTATTGGTAGTAGGAGGAGGAGTAGTGGAAGTGGTAGGGGTAGTGGTCGTGGTGGTGGTACAGTAGTGGTAGAGGTAGGAGGGATCCCAGCTAGCAAGAGCGGTACTAGCTGCAGCAGTGTAGCAGTGGGCGGTCATAGCAGTAGCAGCAGGAGCAGTACTAGTAGCAGTAGTAGTCGTCGTCGTCATAGCCGCAGCCGTAGCCGTCGTCGTCGTAGTTGAACAGTGAACAGCGACGAGGACGACGAATACTACTCTTAATGTACTACTGCTACTGCTACTACAACTGCTACTGCTGCTACTCCTACTATCACGTCTACGGCTCCTACTCGTCCTGCTGCTCATACTCCTGCCGCTGCTGCTGCTACTGCTACTGCTGCTACTACTAAACTTCTTCTACTACTTCTACTACTCCCGCTGCTGCCGCTGCCAGTGCCACTGCCACCACTGCTCCTGCTCCTGCTTCTGTTGCTGCGGCTGCTGCTGCTACTGCTCTTACTGCCACGGCCACTGCCATTGCTGCACTGCTAACAGTACGATTTTACCTCACGGCCGGCTTTTCGAGACTTGGCACAGAGGTACGATCTTCGCGCTAAAGGTAGTTGATGAGTCAAGCAGGAAAGCTTTTTGCGGTGACGGGGTGTTTGGCCTGTTTCCGTTGATAAACGCGCTCAATTGCAGACAACTCCACCCCAACCTTGCAGCTTAAGACTACGAACACCAGCACCAGCCCAGAGAGTCCAAGACTTCAAGGTGGTTCCTGTGATGAAGAGCAGAAGCTGCAGCTTCAAGGAGGCTGTCATGGCCTTGGAAACCTTCCTATCAGGGTTTCGGAGATTTGAAAGCCGTCAAAGCATGCCGGTTTTGGAAGGCCGGTGGCTGAAATATAGGAGGCTCTTGATTTGGGTCTTCGCGTGCCAGCATCAGCGTCTGTGCATTCGAGATGCCTTAGGTGAACATTCTGCATCCTCCTTCTGGCTGCTTGGCATTAGCTTCCCGTGCGTGTGGACGTTGTTCTTGATTAAGTAAGATTTCTGTAAAGCAGGCACAGGGGCAAGCCTACTGAGCTGGGTTATGTATGCATGCACATTGGTTGAAATGAAACTGCTGTTCTGCGGGGATTTTTGGACAGTCTTGTAGGTGGATTTTGGCAAGCAGCTTGCGTCGCCTGCGTCTGCAGCTTTACGCTCATGTTTGAGCTTGGTCTTTCCTGGGCAGTCATTGCTTCAGCGTTACGGAGGCCTCATTTGATCTGATCCCGACCACTGCTGAGTTGAGCTAGCATACGCTACCCTAGAGGCTTCTTCTTGTTTGGTCGACGCCCGTTCGCCGCGGGGAACCAAACCCCGAATCCTTGCTTGCCTTCCCCATAGGATCAAGTCTGGCTGCTTTGCCCGTTCGGCCTATGCCCGAGAGAACTGACAGAATGAAGTGTCTTCGGATGTTCTCTCCGTCTTCGTGCAGCATATGTCTTAGAAGATACCTCGCTTATGTCTCAGTCTTGTGTTTAGAGTTGTGATATGACAAGAATGCGGCGTCAACCAACCATCGGCCTCACGAGTCCACATTCCACTTGCGTGCTGGGCGTGTAGTTATGAAAAATCCCCGGCCGATTCTCCGACGCACCCACCTTTGAGAATTGATCCTCGGCCTCTAAACCCTAAACCCCTAAACCCTAACCCAACACCTGAAGTGTCCCATACCCATTCCAAGGCGAGGACAATGAGAAGCTACGCATTGACACCACGAAGGAGGAGCCGAAGGAGCTCAGAAAAGTCTTCTGAGCGGGGGTTGCGCGTTCCGACTGTAGGATTTTGTGGTGTTGGCGCGACTGAAGCCTTGTGTTCAGAGGTGGAGTTGGAGTTTGGGTTCCACTACGGACTCCGCAGGCGTAAGCTTTGGCCAAACCTTCTACGGCGGTATAGCGGGAAGCGATATTCCTTGCGGCGTTTCGTTCTGAACCTTGGTGTGTTGGGATTTGGGTCGAACGAGCCTGCAAAAAAACCCATCTGCCCCAAAAACCTGGAACCTTGTCTGGAATGAACAAAGCGCGCTCTGGCATGAGTTTAGGCAAAAACCCGAAAGGAATTGTTTGCGTAGTTTGGCCGCCTTAAACTGCGTGGGGTGGGAGAAACAGCAGGGAAAAACCTTCCATAGACAGGCTTCGCAGCTCATCAAATATTTCGATGAACTCGACACAGCCTTCTCGCAAGATACTTTCGCCTACGTGCCATTCCGCGGCAAACTCTAAACCTTAAACCCGGAGCCCTAAACCCTAGGCCCGATCGCAACACCGAAGAACCTGGGAGCAGGACAAGACCAATCCCTCAGCTTCCACGGAGCCTCGAGAGCCGGAAATGGAAGCCAAAGCTCCACCAAAGCTCCTGGAGGAGGTCTGCTTGGAGTTTAGGCTTCAGGCTGTAGCGATGGTCTTGCTAGACGTGAGTTCAGGTCTTATTGGGGGTTTACGGCGCAGAGACTCCAGCCGTGAAGTAAGTGCCCGGGCATGATAGTTTGTGCAGAATCCCACGTACTCATGAATTGCTTGTGAAGCATCGGTTGGGGATTTATCATAGGGTTCACAAAAAAGGGCCCCTGTGGAGGGGACCTTTGTGGGTTGCACGGTTGCACTTTACCGAATGGGCATGTTGCGGCCAATGGAGCCCAATGCTCCCTTTTATCTGGGCTCCAATTCTGTTTTGGGGGTTCTTTCTTGTGAGTACAGTAAAATGGGCCTAAATTGGGCCTAATGGGGGGGCCAATGGGTTTTTCCGTTAGGCCCCATTGGGCCCCTTTGGCCGCAACACGCCCATTCGGCAAAGTGCAACCCATAGGGGTCCCCTCTACAGGGTGGCCTTATCAACCCTGTGAAATGAGGGTTTGGGACTGATTGCGGGTTAGAGTCCGAGGTTTGAGATTCGGAGTTTGGGACTCTGACTTAGCTATAAAACGGGGGGGGGTTTGAAGAGATAGGCGGTAAAGGGTTTATCGTAGGTTTCGAAGGGCTAGGATGTACAAGGTGATGGCTAGTCGGACTAGGGCCAGGGTGCAAAGAGGGCAATGATTCCGGTCGGTTCAGGATTGCTGCCGGGTTCTCGAGTCGGCTTGCAAAAGAAGATGTGCCCTTGTCTGAGGTTTCAAATTGAGGATTGATACCTGATTCATAGGCTTTCTGGACTTGCATGGAGTCGGTCCACCGACAGCAAGGCATGTGCACAGAACCCTAGTCTGGGGAACACGACGCGACAAACACATAACAGTATTGGGGCGCATATCGAGCTGGCATCACACGGCTATGGCAAATGTGTTGCTTTTTTGGACCAAGCCTGAAGGCATGTAGAGCTTTAGGCTCGTTGATGTGCGTTATTGGTTTGGGCCCGTTCGGGCTCCGTGCTGGTGCCGTCCAGCATGGGATTGGCTTTTGGCTTTGGATTTTGTGAGCTACACGCCACAGCGAGTTTCATCCAGAGTGCGAGAGAGCGGTAGAGACCGGGGGCCTTTTACAGATACATATGCGTGAATATATTGAGCAACAAAGTGGGCCTTTGGGGACCGGGGATTACAAGGCAGATGTGTATGTGCGTGTGCGCATGACTTTCGTTTCCAGGCACAGTCCAGGCCAGACCCGGCCAAGCCTGTATGTGCACCGAATCAAGCTTCGGGAAGTGGCTGGAACCGAACTCGGGGACGTGAGTAAGTATATACATGAAACAGGGCATATGTATGTCTGCATGTCTGTCGGTCGGTTGGTCAGTCGGTAGTTTAAGTAGGCATCTATGTACGCTCAAAGCACTCAAAACTCTTCTTTCTCACAGTCTATCTACTCTCTCTCTCTCTCTCTCCCTCTCTCTCTCTCTCTCTCTCTCTCTCTCTCTCTCTCTGTCTCTCTCTCTCTCTCTCTATCTCTCTTTCGCTCTCGCTCTCTCTGTCTCGCCGTCTCCCTCTCTGAACCCCAAACCCCGAACCATTCCGAACTGAACTGCAGCTACATGGGTTCCAAGATCCTACTAGTCCACTGCCTGCTTCATTGTGTAGGATCTTGGGAGGGATGCGGTCAGAGCCGGTACGGTCACGTTAGGTGTTGATATGTCTATGTTGCTTGATCCTAGCATGATTATCCCGTTAGACTGTCTCACTTTGTCAGGCTCCGAAACATATGCCTCGCCTGGATTGTCCGAGTGTGAGCGCCGAAACCCCGAACCCACGCATTCGTTTGTCGCAGGCTGCCTCATCTTCTCCCGAGAAGAAGGTCGAAGCTGCCTCTACCGAGAAGAAGGACCTCGACAAGAACGACGAGATTCAGGAACCCAAGGCGTGTCACCATAATATACGAAGTATACTAATTAGTATATAAACACACTCAGAATAACTTATACGTGCAAATATAAACACATGCGAACACAGAAATGCTGAATATACTTCATTTTATTTCTCTTTCTCTCTGTATACATACATACATACATACATACATACATACTATAGCTGCTATGGAACCGGGGTGTTCATGCAGATTTTCTCTGACATGGCTTCCTTCTAAACCGGTCTGGACTCTCGTAGCCTTCAATCTGTGCAAGGAGATGTCCACAGGCGCCTTCCCATCCCAGAAGCTCAACAGAAATACCGTTCCTCTGGTCGTATCGTAGTCCGACGTTGCTGACTCTTTCTGCCTGCATCCACTAGAGCGCCCGCATGCGGGAGCTGAAGCGTAGCTATAACACCGCATAAATAATTACTTTATACCGTAGCCTCCTCATTTTGGGCATGTATACCCGTGGGTTCTCTGTGATAGCACAAGTGCCGAGCTTCGAGGAGGGGCTTTTTCTTACCGCATCGTGTGTTCAACGCCACCGCCCCGAACCCAGACAAAGAAACTTTGGAGGTGGGATGTCGGGTAGCTACTTCTCGCGGCAATACGCGTTTGTCGACTAGGAACAGCAAGAGAAGATGTAGAACAGCAATACGAACAGAGGACATTTGTCATTGTCGCACAGCCTATCAGTAGCATTCCAGGAATTGCGTATTCGCTACGGTAGCAGTAGCGGCAGTATGGCTGCAATGGCCATGCATGTACGGCCAGTAAGCTCTGACATCCACAACTAGCAGATAGGACTCCCGATGGGCTTGGTGGTTGGAATTGCACACCCGGCCCGAGAAATGACTGTGGCTCAAGCCAGGAGCGCCCTGAGGAAGGAATCAGCCCCTCTCAAAGTCCATTGGGTCAGCTCCCTGATACCTAAACCTTGAAATCTTTGTACGACGCAAACCAAAACTGACATGCCGCAGAGGATCTCCGCTTTCTGGATCATTGCATGTGGTGCGATCCTGTGCTTCGCTCTGCGGGTTGGGGCTCTACTCACCACAGGATGTCGATCTTCCTCTGAGAGTCATGAGCTCAACATGACGCAACTCCTAAAGCAGTCGCGAAGGGTCTTAATCCAACAAGAAGAACTGGGCTATGTGGAACGCTCGCAATTAATGGGACTAGTCTTTGCAGTGTTGCAGCATCGAGGCGAGCTGCAGCTACCCGGTGTTTGTCCTTGTGCCGTCCTTGTTGCCGCTGCCATACAGCTCGGCATTGAAGCCTACAACATCGAGCACGGGGCCTTGCATACCAACTACGACCATGTCACTGCATTTCACCGAACCGGCGTCCTCGAAGGCACGATACGGAATGCCTCGGCGACTTGCTCGGTCAGCGAAGGCCGCTTCTGGCCAATCACGCAAGCTGTGGACGTCCTGTTGACGACAACACGCTCGATGATGGAGCGTTTGCAGTATGTAGGTGACTGGGTTGCGACCTTTCAGGAAGAATCAACGATCACGGACGAGCAACACATTGAAGCACTGGCTGATGCAGCGGCCGTCTTTGATTCGGAAGGGTTGGAGTGGTGGCCCTGTAGAGGCACACTGATAGCTTTGCTCCGCCACGGCAAGCGGAGTGGCCCGCTGTCAAAGGGCAAGTTGGATGTTGTCGATCATGATGTTGACATCATGGTATGTGTTTCATCCCATGAAAGTTGGGCTCAACAACGGCTCTCTGTTGAGAAGAAGCTGCGGGAACGAGGCTGGAGCCATTGCTTCGAACGGTATTCTGCAAGCGAGTCTTACGACGGTCACCAGTATCATTTCGCACGCGGAGATCTCTTCTTGTGCACCAGGACAGATCCCAAAGTAACGTTAGACATCGCAACATACATCACAGACGGCCCCATCGCATATGCACAGAAGTACTGCCTTCCGGCTGCCCCCTCTGCTTTTGGATCGCGGTGTTGGTTTCCCCAGAACGATGGCACCTTTCGTGGAAGTCGGGGTCGGCTGCGCATTTCTGCAATCAGGCCTCTCAAGCGTTGCAAGGCCGGACACCTCTCCGTCCCTTGTCCGAGAGAGCCGCTGGAGACGTTGCGAGCCACCATGAACGTGAACTTTACGGGAAGCTGCGTAGCACTCCCTGACGTTGAGCAACGCCGCGAGCGCGACTTGTACGACAGCGACAAAGATGAATGGCTCTCGGAAGGCTTGACACGGGAAGATGTGGAGATCTTGAGACAGCGGGCTGCTGATCTTGACAAAGACGGTTATTTGTCCATGACTCCGTACCTGCAATGTGCAGACCTACCTGGCTGAGGTGTCCGTATCTTCGTTTTCCCGTGGAGGTGAGCCCTCGCGATGCGGGTTGGAGAATGTGCTTGGCTGTCACGGATACACAAAAGGTAAGTCCTGCTCCATATGGTAAGACCGTGCAGCGAACTCATCGAAGCTTGAGCAAACCTCTAAGCACCTTTATGCGCGCATCAGCTTGAGTTTCGAACGAGTTCCGATTTAGATCTTCAGGGTCCGAAGTGCAGGGAGCAAATCGGTGGCAAATATACTTGAGATTACTTGAGGCATTGTACTATTGGAGGTTTCGTTCTTGTGGTGATGACATTGTCTTTCTGCCTTACCATCAGGGCTTGTTTGAGAACTGGAACCTGAGTGAAGAGGGGTGACTGCAGTCAAGAGGGGTGACAGCCAAAGGCGGCTGCGAAATGCCAACTGCCTCATCTTACTTGGAGGTCGAAGGTTTCTTTGTACCATGGGCTTGCTGTTCGCTGCAGGGAGGGCATTCCTTGGTTCTGTGTTTCTACCTGTAGAGCTCGGACCTTTCGCCCCTACTGCCCAAACCGGAGGCGCGCAACGCGGAGACTTCGCAGATGGAGCAAAAGTCGGAGTCATCGGGCCACCGGAGGAAGGATTCAAAGGCTGCCAGATTTGATTTAGCTACCCGGTACATGCCTACAAGTGGTAGGGTGGGGGGGGGTAGACCAAGGTTTGTCAGGTCATGGTGCAGCCGCCACGACACCACGCACCACCACCAGCAGCACTTCCAGTACCACTACGACACCACCACACAGACTCCCCCACACACTGCACCCAACAGCAACACCAGCAGCAGCAGCAGCAGCAGCAGCAGCAGCAACCGCAACCAGCCTCACCAACGAGTTTGAGTAGTGAGTAGTGCGGCAAACTACTAGAGGAGCATAGTAACAATGATGTTTGAGATCATGTCAATGGGAATGTGAGACATATCCAGACATCAGGGAATGCTGCTGGCCCTGATGACAGGCTGCAGGGCGTTCATCGTCCGAACCACCGACTCCCAAGAAGGAGAAGGCACACGTGCGCCAACAGCAACAGGTTCTGATCAGACGAGGATAGCCAGAAGGAGGACGCAGATGACCCCTCGAATGATTACTCTTATTGTCCTATTACCGTGCATCGGCTCGTACATTCGAGCTTGCTATGGTGTCCACTGATGATGTTTCTCCTACTGCGTCTGGTTTAGGCTTGAGTTTTCTTTACTTTAGACTCACTTTGTCCACGTTGCGCGAAGCTCCATCCCACATGCTCTCTCTGTAGCTCAAAGCCTAGGTCAGCAACTAACCATTGCCACGATTCATGTATCAATCGTTAACTACGCCAATGCTTCCAAAGAGATTATAGTTAGGGCCCTAGGCCTCTTAAGGACCTAATTTTTAAGGTCCCTGGAAGCATAGGGCATCTCTTGGAAAATCACTCCTTCAAGTTATCCAAAAGAAAACGCCTGTTATCACGGTGCCAACTCAATGCGTGGATCAACAGATCCTATGACAAGATGTGTTGTCTGCAGGCTTGGGCGCGAGATCGACAGGCTGGGTGAAGCTTCATACTACTTCTTGTTAACACCATCATATATAGCTACTGCTGCTACTACTACTACTACTGCTACTACTGCAACTGTTACTATTATTGTTGAGATGTTTAGTGGTGTTATTGTTAATTAATGCCTACAAACACTTTTCCCGTCCGATTGCTGAGTCACGATCCTGGTAAATTCCCCGGTCGTGTGACGGTGGGCCCACTCGGGAGAGTGGGGAGCAGGATGGAGCAGGCGGACATTGCATGGCTGCCAATATGCGACATGCGCTCAACAATCGCTGGCTCCAGGAGGACACGCAGAACAACCCGAGTCCCAAACGTGACAGACGGCCAAGCACTGTCCGGGCCTCGGGCACTCAATGCAGTCTTGCCTTGTACCTACTACTTCTTCCTGCTGCGACTGCAGCTTCGATTGCTCCCGCTGCATATGGCAGCCACCAACATGGGTCTCAAGGTTATGAGAGCAGCATACATACATCACCGTTTTCAGCCTGACCATCACCACGGTCATCATCATCATCGTCAAATGTATCTTTGCCAGCATCACTCCTACCATCAGATTTGTCTTGATCCTCGTCGTGGTTGCCATCATGACCATCAGCAGCACAGCGTATTCGCCCCTAGAGCATCATGATCCTAATTTGTTGGGGCCGCTTGCCTAGCCTACTCGCAGCATCAGCATGTGTTAGCCTTTTCGTCCATTTTGAAGAGCGTTCGGAGGGCAGGCTTTCCACGACCTTCAGAACTCATGTAGGTTTTGGGTTTTAGGTTCTTGGGTTTGTGCAACAGACTGCTTGCAAAATGTTCGTCCACACGGCTGAAGTTCTTAAGCATCTCTCTCGCCAGTCCATCGCCATCCAAACTGAAGAGGCCAGGGCTCTGCGATCTGCGGAAAGCTGTAGCTGCAGTGCAAGCTTCGAATTCGGGATGTTCCAGGATGGGGTTTCCATGAGCTGCAGCCGCCAGAAGACTCAGCGTTGCGGTTTCTTCGCGGATCTGAGTGCATCATGTCACGCCGACGATCGAAACGAAAGTTCTCAAGCATTCATGACCCTTCAACCTAAAACATTACCACCGGTACGGTATTGGGATAGACAGGGCCGGATCCCTGCAAAAAATTGTGAATGCTGGCTTGAACCCAACGAAGCACAACCTCCGGCCACAAGTTGGAGTCTAAGGGGCTTGGTAAGGGGGCTCTAATTGGGGATCGTCACACCATGGGGACCCATGACTTACGGATCAAATGCTTACACCTGTACCCTGATCTTGTTACTGTAGGGTGCAGATGCTAGGGCGGAGTCGCACGCGGTCTATCTTATCAGAGCCGAAGTCTGCTAGGCCATCCCACAAGGCTCCCAGACGCAGGAGGTCCCCGCCAGGGACTCAGGACCACTGGGTGTCCATTTGCTGACTGCAAAAGTACATGTCCGCTGGCCCCAGGCTTCTGAGAAGCCAAAGAAGGTGGGCATACTTGTGGGGGCTGGGGACAGGCGAATGAGACTCAGAGAAATCATACCTCCTAGGGCAATCAACATCCACACCGGTTCTTGCTTGTTGCTCTCTTGGAACATCGGAATCCTGCTTCAAGTGCCATCTTCGGTCAAGCAAGACAGCAAGAACAGGGAAGCTTGACTTCGAGTGGACCTTCGTACAAACGTATGTGTATGTATATATATATATATATATATATACACACACCTACATACGTACAGACTGCTGCAGACATTCATCCCAGCTCAGACTCAGCTCAACAACCTCGAAGCCAGGTGAAAGTCAAAACTCCTCGCGGCAGCTCCGGCGAGCGCGGCAGCTCCTCTTCGTCTGGTCTCCGCCCCTCGGCCTTGCTGACACTTCCTTTTGTTGGTCGGGTGTTGAGGCGTGGTGTGTGGAGAGACACACACACACACACACACACACACACACACACACACACACACACACACACACACACACACACACACACACACACACACACACACACACACACACACACACACACACACACCCACACACACACACACACACACACACACACACACACACACACACACACACACACACACACACACACACACACACACACACACACACACACACACACACACACACACACACACACACACACACACACACACACACACACACACACACACACACACACACACACACACACACACACACACACACACACACACACACACACACACACACACACACGGAAGCACAGACAAATGCAGAGACAAACATGTGCATGTATATATATATATATATACACAGATGAATAGTATATACCCATACACGCATATGCACACACATGCAGTACTTCACATTACATTGCATGATATTACATATCATTACATCGCACCACCATCGAATACCATACCATACCCATACACATACACATGTACATACGGATAAACATACACGTACACATACATAATACATACATGCATACATACACACACACACAGATATACATGTATATATATATATATATATATACACATACATCTTAGCACACATGAGCATGGGTACATACAGACAAACGAGCACCCACCCACCCGCCCACCCACCTACGCACCCACCCACCCGCCCGCCCGCCCGCCCGCCCGCCCACCACCCACCCACCCACCCACCGAAACATGCATGCATACGTCGTTCAAGCCTGTATGCATGCTTGCGCAGATTTGCCTGTGCACATCTAGACCCTGGTGTGGGTCTATGATATGTATGTGCACGTATGGGTAGATGCACCTGCAAATGTATGTGCATGCGCAGGTGCATGTGCGCGTGTGTATGTATGATGCAGGGCTGCCACACCCCCCCTCCCCCCCCCACCCCATGGTATCCTCCCCCCTTCCCCCCCGCCCCCCCTGTGGTGTGGGGCCTGTGGTGGTACTCTTTTTGCCACGACGTTCTTATGTGTTACTCCTTGTCTTCCCTCTTGTTGTTGCACCGGTGATACTGCTCATGATTTTGTGCTGCTCTAGACCGGGACATGAGTCGACGATCATACCATGCTCAACATCATCCTTGTCGTCGTCATGTTCATCATTGATACCTTCAAAAGAAGATCTGCCACCATCACCATCGCAATACAACCCTCATAATTCAGCATTGCAATTCACGTCAGATGCCGCTTTCCGCACACGGCAGGGCATAGTGCGACACTCCCGATCCGCGCACAAGGTCAAGGGGCAGGCAAGGTGCGGGCCGGGGGCGGCGGGGCGGGCAGGGCGGGTGGGCGTGCAGCAGCAGGGCGGCAGGGGGTTGGGGGGGGGATACCATGGGGGGGGGGGGGTCGCGGCCCGGGACCCGAGAGCATGTATGTACGTATGTGTGTGGTATGTATATGTATATGTCTACGTGTACGTTTATTTGTATGTGTGTAACCTCGTCTGACTCGTCGAGCACGAGTGACAAAAATATGTATGTGTGTATGCATGTATGTATCCATGTATGTATGTATGTCTGTATGTATACATGGATAGATAGACAGAGGGATAGGCAGATAGACAAGTGTGGGTGCAGACAGTTTGGACGTCGGTGTCTGATATCGTCCTACCTGTCTATCTACTGCGATTCCAAGTAATCTCGAACCGATCCTGTTACCTTCGGAATCATACTCTCTACAAGCAGTTTTGTGCCCAAGCGTTTCAACGTGTTCTAACGCCCGAAAGCCCCGAATGGCCGTAGCGCGCTATACTGGATGCTCCTGCTCTTCGAAAAGAGATGTCTCAGTCACGTCTGAGTGCCTGTAGTTGTCTCTCGACACCAATCCCTCCTCCCTGCATGCCGAAATTCGAAGCAGCTCCAAGCTACACCCTCAACTCTCCGTACTCTTCACCCCAAAGCCCACAACCCCAGGCTCCTGTAAGCTTTGAAGCTTCAGGTCAGCCACTCCTGGGTCCAAACCCGACAACCCAGACAAAGGGACACAGGCAGAAGGAGAAGAAGGCCAAGCAGGCTTGGAGGAGGGCGAATCTTCGCGGTAGGCTTTGGGGTGAGGAAGCTTGGGCTTTGGGCTCAAGGTGAGTGGATATCAGGTTTGTAAAGAAGGTGGGGGGCCGGGTCTAAGGTGAATAGCTTCTGAAGGCTGTTGCTGACGACCCGATACCTAGTTTCGATGGTTCGAGTGTATGGGAGAGCCGGTGTCAACGAAGCAGGACACCTATCAGATCTCGCGAGAAGTGGAAGCTTCTGTGATGTCGAAGTAGCAGCTTTAGCAGACTGTTTAAGGAAGCGTCGTCGTAATGAACTTCAGCAGGCCTTTGTTCGAGAGCCTGGCGGCGCTCGGCAGAGCACAGCACAGAAGGAATCAGGGACCGCGGAATCCCCAATCCCGAAACCTTAAGCCCTTACGGCTCCTGCGCTCCAGAGCACGGATGCTCAAAGGTCCCAGCACACCGACACTGCGCATCGTGTTGCAGATGTAGAGCTCTGAGCCTGAGATTAGAGCTGGGGGAGGAAGGTCTGCTGTCTGGGATTTGGGCACAAAGTGCATCAACTCTCCTAGGCCCATATACCATGACACCCTACAAACAGCAGGTTCGCTGAGTTGTGGCAGCCCAAGCCTTAAGTCAAAGAGACTCGCCACAGGAGGCGGATATGGTGGCGAAGTACGAGGACTGCATCCTGGCAAAGTTACGGCTTCAGGTGTGCTGCTGATGATTTGCGGGATCTTTCGGGTTTATGTCATTTGCGGTTTAGGCGCTGGCTGACAACTAAGAGCAAGAGCTGCAATGGGCGTTTATGTTTTCTCGTGAATATTGGTATGAATACAACTATACTGTTATGATCCTTATCACGAAAAAGTTATTATTTGGCCGGAACTGTTCGGCAGCCTTTGAAGAGCCACCAAGAAGCGTGCGACCGAGTGCTCGAAAATGTTCCCGAGACTGAGGCTTCATGGTTCAGGGTTTACGGTTTCTGCCTAGTCCCCAAGCCCGGGTTGCAAAAAAAGGATCCTAGAAGGCTGTGCCAGTTGCTTCATCCGAGGCAGTTGCGAAAGAACTATCAACAGTGCCGGCGTGCGTTGGTTGCTGATCTGCGCCGCTGTCGTCTTCATGGGAACCGTCTTGCTACCCAAGCTACTTGGCATCAGAAGAATGCCTCGGCGGGTCGTTCATAACATAGTCCTTACATGGCTGGAAGTCTCTACGGGATGGATTGGGGTTGCAGCGTTCAGTTCCACCAACCTTTCGACCCTTACCGTAGAGGAGCTGGGTTGACCTCAAGGCAAAGCCCTGTCCTTTCCGCAATTCAACGTGCCACCTACGGTTAACCGTCCTATGTGCACGCAACCCAGTTATTAAGATCCCTGTGGACTCAGACCAACGTTCACTCATGATTAACTATCCGTTGATATTGGAGGATAGTCCCTCCTAAACAAGGAGCTAAAGAGCCAAGGGAACCCCAAAACCACTGGTTAGTTAACCCAAGCACTTCGACAGCAATAGACACTGACCTGCTGCCTCCGAAGCACGACCTGGCGAATCCCTCCCAACGCTTGCTTTGTGTATGGAGATATGTATGTACATCGACTTACATATACGTACATACATTTATGTAAATAAAACATAGTTCAAGAAATATACATATCTATCTATATACACATATATATATATATACGCATATACCTATTGTGTGAATAGCATATAGTGTGCATACACATACACAAGTACAGCTTACAGTAGAAGCCAGAAAGTTGGAACATCACTATCCTCATGCCCTTAAAGTAAAGCATAGGGACTCCCAGCACTAATCCCCCTTAGTCCATGTTACAACTTTCTGGCTTCTACTGTCTACTATATCAACCTCCAAATATCATGAGACTTTCCTATGCCCGAACCGACTCGTACGTAAGTGTCAAAAATTTCCTTGACAATCCGAAAGCCTTCTATGCAAGCCTGTGGGCGCGACTGTGCAAGGCCTTTGCCTGAAGGGAAATCCGATCTGCCGCGTGAACGGCCGTCCGCCGTGCCACTTCACCATTCAGATGAAGCAGGCTCCTAACCAGCAAGAGTCGTTGTGAAGTCGCATCTCAGCTGTCAGAGTCGGCACGAGCTGTCTGGGGCACCTATGGTACCAACATAGTGGCCCTCATGGTAAGCCAAAGAGTGGCCCTAGTAACCCACATGGTGACCCTTGTAGTATTCCTTATAGAATGCAAGAACCCGTCCTCAGGGAAGCACGATGCTCCGTCCGCTTTCCGACGTCTGGTCTAACCTAGTCTAGGCTACAACAGCTATCCTAGTGCAGTACAGGACGGTTTAGTATTGTTTACACTACAGTTAGTACAGCACGGTATCGCATGATAACATTAAGTCTGGTAGAGTACCGTACATTGTTACAGTATAGTATTGCAGGTAGCTTGGTATAGTCCCGTAGATGATCTAGCACATGCCGCTCGATGCATGTTCGCCCGGCCCTGCCCCAAAGCCCCACACCTCAAACGCGAATCGCTTCCTCCTTCACGGTGCATGGTTGCGACCTTCAGGTCGCAGCTAGAGTTCGCAACTACCACCGGTTTCTGAGCCCTCCCAAGACTTGCAGAAGGGTTTCGTTATGAGTCTTCGGAAACCAGAAGCCCAAGAATCGTCGTTCGTTTTCGGCAGCCATAGTACCTCAGTGATAGGGCATGTGCCGAGAGACCTTAGGGTGCCGACCTTCAGGACTCAAGCTAGATTGTTTATTGTATTATATCATAGTGTCTCATATCTTCTGTTATTGCAGTATATTACATTATGTTATCTTGTCTCATACTATATTGAGGTTTCTTGTACTCGGTTATAACTATTAGGTTAAGGGCTTCGGAGGTGAGGGTTTAGAGTTTGCGGCTTCGTTTGCTGAGATGAACTTGGACAATTACTACAGCGCTTTGCAGCGTATCTGTTCTTGGTGTACGCATGTCCCGCTGCTTGCTGTGAGGCAATTGTGCCTTTCTCTGTCTAATATATATATATATATAAATGTATGTATGTATGTATGTATGTATGTATGTATGTATATATATATATATATATATATATTCTATGTATATACACTGTTGCTGGACATGACGGTGTACCTGATAAGTCCCCAGTCGGGCCAGCGTGACCCCACCAGCAACCACGAAGCTTTTTCACAGTGCTCCTGCTGAATCGTCACAGTAGTAGCCCTATGAATTAACCATCATGCCGCAAATCGTAATGACCGTAGTGTGACGAGGAACAGCCCGACCCGCCTTTGCGAGGCAAGAGTTCGCACAGAGTTGCGGTGCCCTCGAAGCCGGACGAGAGAGACGAGACTGAACTGAAGCAGCTTGTCGCCATTCAGGACCGTCGTCATCCTTAACATTTGAGGGTTTCAGTTCTTATAGCCAGATTCCTTGTCCTTCTGTGAATTAGATGAAGGACAACTAGCTTCGAACAAAATCCCCTCGTGGGTACACCGGCTTGTCCTGCTTTGGGGTCGAGCAGATGACCGCCGTATAACTCCAGGTCGTATATGGTTCCGAGCAGCCGCTGTTATCATAGATGGTTGCCTCTAGTCTTACCGAACCCGTATAGCACCCCCTACAATACTGCAGTTCTTCTCGTAGTGGTTGCACAGGGCGCCGCCTTAAGTCATGCATTGTTGTTTTTTCAGCGATCTTTCTACGGGTTTTGCTGCTTTCTAGGAGCGGGGAGCGGGGGGATGGGGAGAGGGGGGAGCTCGATAGCATCTTCCTGTCACATTCCTCCCGTGTTCGCCTTACTTTAAGACGACATGGCGCTCTGGCGGCGCTCTCCTGGCTTGCTTTGGAGCTGTCAGCCGTCATCATCCTCGTGGGGGTGGCGGCGAAACAACTGCCACGCCAGCTCCGTTGCTCCACAGTCGCCCGTGTTGTTCTGTCGGAACGACTGACTACACCTGAACTTCTGGAACCGCACGCGCGCCGATGAATGACCATGACGATGATGATGATGATGGTGATGATGATGATGATATTGTTCATGATGCTGATGATGCAGTAGTTTGCGTGACGTGCTGCAAACGTATGTAACGCCGCGCCCTGTGCGCCCACATTCTAGTTCTCATAGTACAGAACCCCTCCCCCCCCGCCCTGCAGTCCGGGCAGTGACAGGAATGACTCTCATGATCAGCCAGTGCTGCTATGACCAGCCCAGGTCTGCCCAGAAAGAGCTGCAACCTTACTGGAACCGGGTCGTGGTTCAGGGTTCAGGCACAAGGTTCAGTGCAGGTGAGCTGTCTCCGGCAGTCAGTATCGAGTCTCTCGCTCATGCGATGTGCGAGATTCTTCCCTGTTCGTTTTTGGCTGGCGCTTGCGAGGCTAGTCAATGTGGTACAAGTCTTCTCCCGTGCGTGGGCTGTTGCCCTTTCTGGCACTGACTAGAATCCCGCACTGTTGGGATGTCGGATTTGTCGCTTCTGCTGAGGCTCAAAGACGAGCTTACCAAGCTGGACAATTTGGAGGAGGACAGTTCCGGTACCCTCCGGCCGTCCAAGTCAACGGGAGAGAAATATAGGTCACTATCACTTTTAAGGGTCCCTTTCCGTGCCTGCATGTTTGAAGTATATTACACCCCAAACCCGGTTCTTCAGTTAAGGCCCCTGTGTAGTATTTCAATATATCAGATCCCGAGGTCCTGTGTAGTATTTCAATATATCAGATCCCGAGGTAGCCAATTTGGGAATGCTTCGGGCGTCAGGAGCAGAGGAAGACACAACGTGTGGAGAACCTGGCGCGCCTATCGCAAAAGGAGCCATTTCCTCGGTCCATTTCCGTCATTTACCGGTGATGTTGCCAGCATGATTGATTGCCAATGCAGCACAAGCGTCGTGTACAACTGGTCATTTTTGTTGCCACTTCCTTTCTTGAAAAAGATATACCACCGATGCCAGCACCGCAACGACGACCGCAATGTTAACGACGACCACGGCATCAACGGAAAGAGCACCAAAACCACCAAACACCACTGACTCCCACAGCCGCCCCCCACCACCACCAAGATCGGGACCAGCTCCAGCACCAGCACGTCACGACCCCGACTGTCCTCAAGTTTGCTATTGCCTCTCCTTCTCCTGGCAATCATATGGCATGTCTTGTTTGTACAGAAGCTACACGCACCTTGCAGTTGCTGACGCTACTCAGCTGCCACCGTGCTGCATGATCACCCGCGATTGTTATGGCTGCATGGGAGAGACATCATCTTCTTCCTTGCCATCACTGGCCCCATCGCCACCGCAATCTGCACAGCCATATCTCCACCCTTTTGGTTGCAGATGATCGTCATCATACTTGTCTCTACCATCTTTGGCCCCGCTCCATGAGATTTTCATAGCTTCATCATTGTGCTGAGGAACGAGGATGAAGCCCGATCCCAGAAGAAGCAACTTGGCAGTGAGCCTGAGGGCAGGCTCAAAAGTCAGAGAGTTCTCAAGAAGTAGATATGTACCAATACCACTCCTTAGGTCCCCGTAGTATCAGTTTATATTATGTGACTCTCATGCTGCAGGGCTGATGTTCACGTGCCGGGACGGAGATGTGTCTGTCTGTTAGTGTCCGAACCTGCAAGAAGGAAAGGGTCCTGAGATCAAGGAATCATGGACTGTTCAGGGTTCGGGCTTAGGGTTGAGGGTTCGTGATGTGCAGGGTTTTTGCTCAAGTGCCCCGACGAGAGCCATGAGTGCCGGTAGCACTTCGAAGAAGCGAAAGTTCGTGGCCGATGGCACCTTGGTGGCCAAGCAGGGACGGGCCTTCGGTGGGTCCAGTAACCGGATTTGCATGGTTTTGGGTGCGTTTTGGGTGGCAGATACATCAAGCAGCCCATCATGTATATCGCCACCCAGCCCACTGTTAGCAGGTTTTAGATCATAATAACCAAAATAACTGCGACAGTCTGTGGAGAGCCTGGGCCGGACGGTAGAAAGAGCAAGTGCCGTCGAAAAGACCCAGCTGCAAGGCTTTACCGAATGTTTCATAGCCAGCAGTTGCACCCCCCCCCCGCCCAGGGTGGGTTTGTTTAAGCGCAGGGCTAACCATGTCGCAATCTGTACTTGGCCTGTTCGCACACTCCCGATTCCTGCCACACGACCTGCAAACGTAACTGCTGCATGCCGAGGCGTTTTCAATGCGGAGTTGAATGAGTTCCTGGCGCGAACTTTGGGTGAGGCAGGATTTGAGGTTCCCCTTTTCGATCTGTAAGCCGTCATTCGGGAAAAAGCTGTGAGAGCATAACTAAAGCTGCGTGAACGACCGTGCAGAACCCCATATCTCTTACATATGTCGAGTGCTGATATGCTATACCAAGTTGACGAAAAGCAGTCACAAATGTAGCAGGTGTTGGTCGTAGCGGTCGTGGCTGCAGCAGTCGTAGTCGTCGTCGTCGTAGTGTCGTGTAGTGTCAGTGTAGTGCCGTGCAGCGCAGAGTAGAAGAAGTAGTAGCAGAAGAAGCAAAAGTAGTAGTAATCGTAGTAGTAGTAGTAGTAGTAGTAGTAGTAGTAGTAGTAGTAGTAGTAGTAGTAGCAGTACTAGCAGCAGTAGCACATTGTCATCGTGCACCATAGCTTGGATCAGTAGAGCTATCAAGAAGCCGACGCAGGTGCGATGATACACCAGTGGGGTTCAGATGAAGGATTTTGGCCTCGGTTGAGGCTTTCGGACATTATCCTCAACTGTCAACCACCACAGGCTCTCCTTCCCACCGGGCAGGATGGCTATGCTGGCGTGGAGGTGCGAGTGACGCCGATTCGGACCGAGATTATCATCCGGGCCACAAGGCGGCGGGACTATTGATGTCTGTGGTACCGCAGCGTGAATGGGAGTAACACCGCTTAAGCTACCAAAAGGTTTCTCTTGTCAGCAGTAGAAACCTCACTACGAAGTTCGGTTATACGTTCGACACGTATTTTCGAACGCTGCAACAGATTCATCTGTTCAGGTGGTTCAACCTATAGCTATCTATAGCCGGTGGCCCTTAAATAGGCCTTCTAAGCATTACGTACATTTCCCGTTTTCAATCTTGTTCAATGGCTGCCTGGCTGATGCGAGGTTGGTGAGGAACAAGGATAGCACACAAGTTGCTAAGAAGACTGCCACTTCTAGTCGTGACCTAGCATGGGCAGAGCAATAACCACAGGACCTGCTGGACGGTTTGCGCTGCTGGCGATACGATAGGGGTCGTGAGAGTGAGTAACTATAATAACAGTATCCCTTCACAGTCCCTGCATTATCAATGTCCCCGAAAACATGATTCTGGCATAGTCTCCCCTTCCAGCCCCAGTTTTACAGCCGTATCCCGAAACCCTAATCTATCTATTGGGGCCCTATATTTCTATTTTGGGGTGTTTGCATTGCCCAGAGTTCGAGATTGGAAGCTGTTCATCCTCAGCTGGGTTGGGCTGAGCTGTGAGCTGAAACTTGCGTGGGTTCAGGGTGCGGGGTTTACGCCGTTTAGCAAGGTTCAGAGTAGGATTTAGGTGTTGAACTCGGTTCGCGCCACGATCCGAAAGTTTAAACCCCAAGCCCGACACCCACACGAACCGGAGTCGAAACGCCGTAAGTCGACCCAGTCTACGCCGAAACCACAAGGACCAGGGAGGTTCTGGGAGAGAAGGGTCGAAGAATCCGAGAGCTGACGGCCTTGGTGCAGAAGCGCTTTGGCTTTCCGGAGACGCATGGCAGAAGGGTCCGAAGATTCAAGACAGAAGAGTGGGGCATTCCGGCGGAGGGGGTGAGCGGCTAAGGGTTTTTCAGACTTATGATACAGGGACACTTGGAGTTTCGGCAGGTTGAGAGTGACCTACCCCGAAGGGCGATGTAGTATACGGGAATTTTAAAGTAGACCTGAACAGCTGAAGCCAGCTGATGCGGTTACCCTAAGCTGTCTTAGACAACCCCTAAACCATCCTAAACCCTAAATCCCTACAACCACCCCCCTTTTATTTTGGAGTTAAGGAACAGTGTTGAGCTCTTCGCCGAGCGTGTTGAAAATCGAGCCAGCTGCGCCATGGCTCTTCGCCGCATTGCTTGGAGTTCAGGGCCTCGGGCGTGGGATGAAGGTTTAAGTTTAGGGTTTAGGGTTTAGGGATCATTATCCTCATGCCCTTGAGGTAAAGTATAAGGGATCCTAGCACTAATCCTCCTAAAGCCATGTTCCAACTTTCTGGCTTCTACTGTAGGGCTCTGCCATACCTGAGAACCTGTCGACCAGAACGTAGCCACGACTCTCAATACAGCATGCCGCAGAGTTCCTAAACCGGAAGTTGCGACAACCGTTAACTCGACCGAATGTTGAGGTGGACCACTTCGAGATTATAGGGTCATGAGAATCTCGGAGAACCCCAAACTCAAGGCGCAATGCGAATCCCTCCGCTTCAAACTCATCGGCGGGCTGGCTGTGCGCCGTGCCTGCTGCCTGGCCCAGATTGTAAGACCGGGTAGGCTCACCAGAAGAAGCGCACAGGCTGAGTTACAAGTGTGGTGAGGAGGTCGCCACTTCGGAGTGCCCTGAACTCCCTTTCTCTGGACATGCATCCCTTATGCCTACCTTCTCTATCATCAAGTGCCCTTCCAGTTTTCGTGTTGGCAACCGGAGAAATCGCGAGTAAGGTGTTGAGTCCAGCTGACCCAGTCGCCAGTAGAGCAATGCAGGAGGCAACAAATGCAACCCCCTTCACACTGGGTTCGAGACCTGCACCTGCTCTTATCGGACATGTGCATTCTGTGACGGGCCTAGAATGGGCCGAGAAGCCTGGAGGTTTTGGCTTTGACATCGAGTTCAGCACCGACGGTTTAAACAACGGCAACACTCAGCGCGAGCAGAGATAGGGTGTTCAAAGCTGAGGCTACGGCGTGCTGAGGTGCGGGTGCCAAGTTTGAGCTATTCAGACGATGTACCGTTGGAGCAATTTCCCTTGTCGCTTTCAAGCATTTCGCCATGTCATGGTTAAGTCATGCGCCTCAAACCACAAAGCCGGTCGGGATTCGTTGGCCGGCCGTCGTGTCTCATGCCGCAGTCACTTGGGATGCTGCCGAAAGAGCCCGGGCTTGAGGGTTTCGGATTTAGGGCTTTAGGGTTTAGGGATTATGGTTTGGGGCTTAGGGCTTCAGGGTTTAGGGTTTGGGGGTAAGGCAAACATACCGGGTTCTGGCATCCTCAGCAATTCGAAATCGAGTGGCTAAAGTCAAAGTGGCAAGTTCGGTCGGAAGCTGGCCTCGGGAGTTGTGACTAGTACGAGTGACTACGGTGATGGATTTCAGCAATCTGTACTGTTTCGTTTGGAGCTGTTGCTTCTTCAACATGGGAGCTTCAACGCCACTCTGTGGTCGCAACTTCTCGCGACTTCTGCAGATTGCACGCAAGAGGCGTTATCACGTCTCGCTTGCGTTAAGACGGTATCTCGACATGTGTTGATGCTCGGCCTCGTTCTGTGTTTTTCAATTTGGAATCTGTGCTGCCTTTGTGCCACAAGAACGCAAGACCACACCGACAGCAACATACCTGCCTGGAGATGCGAACCCTTGCGTGAGCAGACTGGAAGCTCTCATGAGGAGGTTTCCTTGAGCCAGGTTCCCTGATTGAATGCAGTTCCGATCGTGAATCTGGAATTCGGTTCGCTTAGCTGCATGGACGCAGGTTTATCCTATGTACTACTATTATGGAATCAGGACCTACTTCCATAATGGTAGCGTATATGGACCTTCTTGGGAAGCAGGTTTATCATGGAGAATGGCGCCAAGGGTGTGGAGGTTATCATCAGCGGCAAGCTGCGCGCGCAGCGAGCCAAGGTACCCCAGCACGGTCCTAGCTTTGGCGGGTCTTTGTGAAAAGTTGACGGTTGGGAGAATCTTGGGACCCCTGGGGAGATGAAATAGACTAAAATGACTAAAAGTCAGGAGCCCCAAGCCCCATAGGGGACCTGGCCCTAGACCCCAAACTCTGTACACCAAGCAGTCGATGTAAGTGGGTCCGAGGCAGAAAGATGTTCGAAGTCTGCAGGTTAATCCCTCGGCCTTGTGGCCCTAATTATTATATATTATTATATATTCTATTCTATTATATTATATTGTATTATATTATGTTATATTATATTATATTGTGTTATATTATATTATATTATATTATATTGTATTATATTATATTATATTATATTATCAGCCCCTCCCAGAAATTGGACCGAAATGCTGTCAGTTCGGGGCTTCTGGCCTTCTCCTGGCATCGCATTCATTCTGAAGTCATTGCTCTGAGCTGCAATGCCTCTCTTGTTGCCACTGAGCTGAGGCGATGAAGTTCAGACAGGGCTACCTGACACTTAGCCGTATTCAGCAAGATGACAGGGCGCCAAGAGAACTGTCATGTTGGCTCTGTTTCGTCCACACGACTGACCG